TTGGCTTTAATATTTTTATGTTTCAAAAATATCTTAAATCAAGGCTCTACACTAAGGAGGCCTACATGTGGCTAGAGCTGGAAACGAGGAAACTATGGATATTTTTTCAGATATTAAGATTTTTATTATCATAAAGATCAGACATGATTCATACCTGGGAGATATATTGGAGAAAATACACGGCTTATACTTGATCTGATGGATTTTACTGAATTAAAACAAATTCCTGGAATGTTGGTCATGATAGACTTTGAAAAGGCTTTTGATACAGTGTCATGGAAATTTATTGAATTGCGACAAAAAACTTGTTCAAATCAAATCAATTATAGAACAATGAAGAAAAAGAAACCTTAGAACCCTGATTGAGAAAATTACTTTAATAAAGTCTCTTCTTATTTCACAGCTTAACCATTTATTTATATCCTTACCAACTCCACAAATCGATTGTATATTACGATGGTTTCAATACGGAGTTAATCACCATATTCTAACTACCAATAGTCTTATGTATAATATGGACAAAGCTGACATTAAGTCTTGTACTTTTTGTGAAGAAGAAGAGGAAACAATTAACCATTTAATCTGGGACTGTATGTTTGTTCAGCAATTTTTTAAAAAAATTATTAGTCTTTGTCAAGCAAAAGACATTGAATTGAATTTAAATGCTAAATCATTTATTTTTGGTGAAAAAGATGATAATGAAATCTCAGAATATTTTAACACTATGTTGATATTAATGAAGCATTACATTTATAAAGTTCTTTGTCAAAATACATGTCCATCTATCCAAGGTTTTCTGAATCTATTAATTAAATCCTATTTTACAGCTTTGAAATACACTGTAAAAGATAATAAAAAAAAAAAGACTTAGTGACTACAACACTTTCTGGCAGAAATCTTAATGGGTTGTTATATTTTAATTTTTTGATATTTTTTCTTTCTTTTTTTTTATGGCAATCACTTTAATATGTTACAAGTGAATCCCTCAAAACTGCACTGTTCTAGTTTTGCTTTCTCTCTCTTCTTTTTCTTTCTCGATAGTGAGTTTAAATGAAACTGAGTATTTTCATGACAAAACGTAAAGTTATAGAGCTACATGTATATATAATTGCCTCTCTCTCTCAATAAACTTTTACACCGAGTTTGAATGTTTCAACTAAAATTAGTTTCTATTAGGATTCTGGTTTTTTTGTTTTTTTTGTTTTTTTTTGTTTTTTTTGTTTTTTTTTTTTTACATATATCTACATATAAGTTTGTACATGTATTTGTAATATGTGTGAAAGTTTCAATAAAAAAAAAAAGATTTTTATTATCATAAATTCATATTTTCCTTATGGCTAACGTCCTTATGTGAAAATCTGTAAAGCATATTGTCATTTCATTTCAACTGTGTTTAAATAAATTAATAAAAAAATAAAAATGAAATGTCTGACGGTAAGGCTATTATATGTTGAATGAAAAGACAGTAAAATTATAATACAAAATCAATTTATATTACAAAATGGCATTGAAAATAAAGAACTAATTGAGCATTAGTGAAGGTTCAATGTATACACATGCAGTACCCGAGGGGGTTGGTTGGACAGAGAACAGGTGTTTAAACAAAAGGTGTTTATTACCAACTGGACCAGGTGTCAACAGCTGTGTATATAATGCATCTATACACACAGGGGTGGCTGCCTATCCCAGTAAATACCAACAGAGCTAGCTGATGTGTAAATAATATTCTCACAATACTCCCTCAACAAGGGATCACAATATGCAACATGCACATATTATTAATTTTTATGGAACTTTCCATTTTTAATAGACCTGTGTTCAAATAATTTCTGTTGACACTGTGCTGTTTATCAACCATATTAAGACTCTTGGCTTATGTAGAAATGTACTTAGGGGATAGACATACTATCTCATTGTCTTTATGAACAGTAAAACATATATTTCAAAATATTTCCAAATTCTGCAACATACTTTTTGGTATAAAATTTCCATTTGGAAGGGTACAAAACCAGTGTGGACAAAAGGAGTCAATGAAGCCCTGAAATATGTGTTGATTTATAATATTTTTAATTATATTTCATTTTTATTCATTTTTTTATTTCCTTTTATGTATTTATAATCATGTTAATTCTTATTATAAAATTCATATATAATATTATTCACTTTTTATAAGCATGAATATTTTTCACGTATAACTTGGAACCGCGATTTTAGATCGGGCGTGGTATACGGTATACCACGACAACTAGTGATGGCGTCCGATTTCTGTCGATTCTCGGGTATAATTGGCTATAAAAATGTACGGATAACACTATCATCCTAGTAATCACCACCTAAACCCTTTTTGTATCCCAACTCATTCATTTTTATGGGGATTCTACGTTTCTGTCGGGGATTCTTGTTTCTGTAGCGGGATTCTCCCGAAATCCCGGGATTCTTGAAAGTCCTAGCACCGACGAAGCCCACATGCCGATCGCGATGTCAATTAAGAAATGGCCATACACTTATTTTCAGGATTTTTGAAGTATCCTGGCGTCATGGGTTTCCGATAGTCTAACAACAACCAAGGTCCGATTTGATTCCCAGTTTTCTCAATGATTTTTAAATCGTATTATTTTTTAACCTTAAGCATTGCATTAAAAATCGCCGACAATAAATTGGCATAAAGTCGTCATCATATGCATTTTCTAGGTATAAATAAAATGGATACCGTATTTGACCAATCAAGACGAGCGTCATATGTTTCCGATAGTTTGATTCGTCAATATATTTCTTTACTAAAGTAAGGTGAACAACTGGTGCAATAATCAAAATAAAAAGCTATTTTATCGTAAAAATATGTTTAATATATTTAATCATATACAGATATCTTAAATTCGCAATTATACAACTATGAATGAAATTCTACTAAATATTTACTAATATTTAGTGTATTGAAATACAATGCTAGCATAATAATAATGCTTGGAAAATGGATGTTTCAGTGAGTTAACCATTTTCTTTAAGTGCACAATTGTTTTCAATTGCAATTATATTTTGTAGATATTATCTATTCACAGCATGGACAATTAAATGGTGTATTTTTCCTGACAACACGAACAGGTGAACAGTACTGGAGATGAACCCAGTGTCCACATGACTCACACTGAGCCCATTTGACAATAGCAATTTCATACACATTTCTTGACTTCACATAGAAATTTTTACAAACGCAACACTTCTCATTTTCACTCATCTGCGATTCATGTTCTTCCTCATCTGAGTTTAGAATATAATCATCTGAGTCAGTAAGGTTGATACAAGATGGTCCAGGCTGTTGAGAGTCCGATGATGCGATACACTTTTTGTTCTTCTTTGGTTCCTGTTTATTTTTGATTGGTTTTCTCACAGTTTTTGTACTTTTAGAAGTTAATTTGTTGCATGATTTTTTTGGTTTTTTAGCAGTATTGTTTAAATATTCTCTCATTTTCCCAAGTGTTTCATCCTCAGTTACAGCTTTCCCTCCAATTACATGACTGATATTTCTTCTCTTCTTTTTTAAGTTTTCAATTTTACATTGAACTTCTCCCCCTTTCTTTGAAAAGAAATCTTCATTATTTGATAGGTTACTATCTCCAGTGCAATTTGTTTGTTTCTCTCTGCAGGCTGTGTCTGAATTTGCAGGTGTCATTTTTGATGTTGCAAGTTCATTTGGTTCAGTGGTATTTTTTTCTTCAGTTTTAATTTCAAGATTATCTCCTGTTTCATTTTGGTAGAGGATTGATGGAGTAATTTTTTGCTTTAGTTTTTCTATCATGCTATCGGCTGATTGAAAAGGATAGATTCCAGATTTTGAAAATGCTGCCTGAATATTGGTTGGCGACAAGGCAGCAGTGTAGGCTTTGCAAGCAAGAGCACATACATCATAACGGGTGACTGTTTTGTGATTCAAACGTGACAAAGATAGACATTCCTGATTGTATTTTAGTTGAAAAGGTCCAAAGCAACCTACATCCATTGGTTGCAAAATATGTGAGCAGTGAGGAGGCAGAACAAATAGAATAATATTGTTGTTTTTAGCCCAATCTATTAGATCTAAAGAAATGTGGCTTCTGTGACCGTCATAAAGGGCAAGTATAGTCGCAGGCTGATCTCGACCTTGAACATACTTTAAAAAGTGGTTTTTCATATATGAACGGAAAACTTCAGAGTTTGACCATCCGCTAGGTGTCATCGTTCCGTCAGCACCAACGTAAATATTGAATAATACAGAATTGTTCAAGAGTGTTATAACTTTTTTTGCTTCAAAATGTTTCATTTTTAAACACCAATAACATCTATATTACGTGGTTATAACTATCTTTGAGTATAATTATACGAGTGACGAATTGCAAGGCTACCGCTTGGGATTTCTATTTTTAGAGCGACTCTGAGCACTAGCGACAGTTTTCACTGGTACACCGCTCTCTAACTTTTGTAGGGATGTATGTATAAGGTTGAAATTGCATATGCAGGTATTTTACTAGAAAATACAGGTCAAGTTGAAATTTGGTCATGGTCCGATGATTTTTGACAGAGTTATCCCTCTTTAACTAGACATTTTAAGTTTCCGCTCTCTAACTTTTGAAGGAATATATTTTTAAGGTTGAAATTGCATATGCAGGTATTTTACCTAAAAATACAGCTCAAGTTCGAATATAATATTTTAACTAAATATGGCATTTGAAATTTTGGATGCCTGTGGGGGCATTCGTGGTGTTACGACACATCTAGTTTTTATCAATTTTTGTCTTGTAATTTATTCAGGATGAATATCTTCCAGAGAATATAAACTTATCAATCATTTGTAAACCAAGTCATTAGCAGCATATGAAGCAGCATTATAATTGATATGCATCCCACAACTATTCATAATAGATTGTGTTGTAACTGTGCAAATGGAAAAGATTTTTTCTTTTTTTTTTTTAAAGTGTATTTATTTTATTTTATACATAACAACATTATACATGTATATTGCTGTAACAATCAATTCATCCTTTTTTCACATTAAGTCCTTTTTTTGCCATCACCGATCAAACCATTTTGATTTCTGGGATTTGCCTAACAAGTTTTTCTTGTATTTATTCACCAACATATCAAAGTCATCAACACCATCTGTTTTCCTTTTCTTAGGTTTCACAGTTTTGACCTAAAGTAAAGAGGAGACATGCACTGAATAACAACTTTTCTTTCTAGCATCAAACATCAGTGGCTAGTTGAACTAAGGCTTTTTCACTTTAAACCATAGTTTATTTCTTAAATTTCCATATGAAAAATCTTTTACTAAAAAATGACTATCAGTTATTTAATTGCCTTTTGCACAACTGGACTCAAAAATCAAATGTTTAAAGCAATTAACCATAAGGGCCATTATCATCAGGTGGATCCACTGAAGAGCAAGAAACAAATTTGTAATTTAAACACTTATCCATCCAAATTTTGGTTAAAACTTTTGGTAAAACTTCTAATTCTATATCCTTATGTATTATACAAACCTTTTCACTAAATACATTTGCCTCCTCAGGTTTCCTTTTGAGTACATTCTTTTTTGACTTTTTATTAGTTGTTGTCACGACTGGCCGAGGTTTGTGCCTGACTTTAGCTCCCCAATGGGAGGGAAGGCCTTTAGGTAACTTTTTACCATCCTCTGCAGCTGGGAGACTCCCTATGAACTTGTCCACCATTTTCGGGGTCTGGACTTTCTGATTCTTTTTTGATTTCTTTTCTTCTGTGGTCTCATTCAAGGAATCTTTTGATTTTGCCTTTTTAAGAGCTTCCAGGCGTCCCTAATAGCAAATGTACATGTAGCATATTTATATTTTAATGTGTTTTGTTCATAATACAAAATGCAATTCTACAAATTTTGATAAAAATTATAATAATTTCCTCATATTATGTATCACAGAAAATAAACAAAACAGGCATGATAAGCTGAGTGCTTAATTAATTATCAAGTTTCTGTGTCTGAAGTAAGGAGGAGTCATAAGGGCAAAGGCACAACAGATCTAGAGACAGTGGGAAGTGAGTAATACATGTACATGTAGTAGTAATATTTCTGATACCTTTTGTCTTTCCATTCGTTTCTCTTTGGCCTGTAGAGCTGCTTTATTTTCCAGTGAAAATTCTACAATCAACCTCTGTCAAAACAATAAATATATAATTTAAAAAAACACATTTTACAGTAAAACTTGTCGAATCCGAATGTTGTGCATTCCGGCATTTTGTTCAGTCCGGCGTAATATTTTAGTCCCTTGAATTTTCTTTATAATTTATGTTTAATAAATGTTGTTCAATCCGGATCTTGCCTATTCTGTAAACCGGCCGCTATTTAAAGAACTGACTGCTCATAATTAGTAAAAATTATCTCCTCTAATCCGGCCACTTATTTTTACCTGTGCCCGATCTATCCTGTATCGACAGTTTAGCTTTTAACAAACGTGATAAAAAAAAACGTTAATGCCTCAAGTAAGGCGAGGAAACTAGCAAAAGAACGAGTGATAGTGATGGTTGCGTGTAGCATGTCTGTAGAAAAACTTGGAGACTTATTCATGACCTCCTTTCTTCTTTCGTTTTGTGTGTACAACGTGCAATTCGAATACTTCCCTTTGTGTCGCTAGTTTACAGCGACCATAACGATAGAAGATTTTGGTCCAATATTCATTATAACATTTGAAATTAACAAATACAGTGTCTAAATATTAATTCATATAAATTTTAAAAGAAAGAAATTAATTAGGAATCTGTCCTAACAAAATAATATTTACAGAGCTGCTACGATGAGGTTTTGGAGTGTGTTTTAAACATTTAACGATTTTCAAATTTAATGAATGACCAACAGATAATATATTTCGTTACTGAATAAAAAAACTTAAACCGAAATGAAAATTCTTAAGAACAAACAGAGTTCAAACCAAACGAAATAGACGATTTTTTCAAGAAACGGAAAGAATGACACATTTGATCAAGTATTTATTTACCACTCTTTGTTTATATCTATGTAATTTTGAACTTGCTATAGCGGTTCAATTATCTCCAATCCGGATTTTGTCTAATCCGGCCAAAAATTTTGGAACCACTGGTCGCCGGATTAGACAAGTTTTACTGTAGTTTGTTTTAAGTGATGTTCCTCTTATTTTTGAAAAAAGCAAAGTATACATGATTCTCTGCACCGTAATACTTTGGTTAAAGTTATAATATTTTCTTTAGAAAAACTTCCATTGGAATTAATTCTTGAAAAGCAAATACTGTACAAAAATTGGCATATTCAAAATTTAGTGCAGTCACTGGGTATGTTGTTGACAAAATCATGAATTAGTGCTTTACATGTCCGTGGCGTATATTGTATTTATAAACGATTTCTTAGCGGTTTTCATGAATTAGTGCATTGTTGTCTGCACCAAAGCCGCTTAAATATGAAGCCCGCTTTTTAAGTACAAATACAGTATTTTTATTTTAATAGTCTTACGCTTAAAATTTATGAACAGTTTTACCTTATTCTCACCGAACAAATCAGCATTGTTATTGGTGTTTCTCAGGGCATTAAGAGCATGCTGATGACAGGTGAAGTTTACAAAGGCATAGCCTCGTGACTTTCCTATCTTCTTGCTGTTCATTCTTTCTAAATCTCGCATGATACGACACTGTAATGTCAACATAAGGATTATACATCAATGTAATTGAATTACGAGCTTATATTATATGAAATAAAATTTACACACTTAAAAATAGGTTCACTGACATGTAGTGGCACATTTCTGCCTCCTATCGTATTCATGAATTATTTACTTTTATACATCTCCATACTGACATATCTATACTAATTTATGTGTATTCATGTACATTGTTGTTTACTGACTGAAGCAGACACATGTACATACCAGTATATATAGATATACAGGTAAAAACTTTATCTACAAAATGTAAATTGATTTTAAGTTTTATGAAGTACTTCTGATTACTGTTAACATATACATATAGTCTATAAATTCTTATATAAATTTTCATCATACATGTACATGAATGTAAATATTGCAGACTTTAAACAATTATAATTTTGCTTTGTTTTGAAAACACCCTTCCTCAAATATTCAAATTACACACTGTGGAACAGTAACACTATAGAGTTAACTTTGACAGGTTAATGTGGATAAGTTAACATCATGTCCACATAAGGTGAAGTTGACCAAAAACAATTAATAATGAGATTAACTTAACCACAACTGACATCATTCACAATAAAGTCACATGATTAAGTTAAGAAAACCAGCAATGTGAAATTGCATTGTGAACAGGAAGTGGATTATAAATGTGATTTATCTGAAATTGTATTAAGTATATTAACTCAATGTGGACCAGCCCTCAGTTTACCTCAGTAATAACTGCTGCCTTGCTATCTGCTGCCCTCAGGAAAACATTTTTCAGCTGTTTCTCAGACACTTGTGTCGGGATATTGTGAATGCTCAGTCGGGTGGTCGATACAAAGATGTTGGGATTCTTCAACTTAGCACGCTTGACATTCTCCAACTAAATATGAAAACATCCCATAATTAAAGAAAGTGCAATTTATTTCCTTTATTCTCACCTGTAGGACTTATTAAATATCTATTACCAGGAACTTTTTTTCTGATGGACAGGTAAATTCCACATTGTAAAACAAAGTGCAGGGCATTTAGACAGTTATATGAAATTCCTTTATTTATTTTATAATGCCTAACCTAAAAATGATTTGGGGTTCTTTTTTCACAACTATTGAATAAACATGGGACTTATTTATCATACTTTTGTCCTTTTTAAAAGATCCTCCTTGGAGAGTCCTATAGCTGCCTGTGTCCCTGGGCGAATCACTAAAAGATAATAAAAAGATAATAATACTCAAAGAAATTTTAGGCAGAATGCATCTTGATACTTTCCAGATTTACACATATTTTTTCCAACAACCACAGTTGCTAAATTCAATGAAATTAAATGAAATCTCTCTCTTCCTTTAACACTTTGATAAACCGAATGACTGAATGCATTTTTTTTTAAAATCAAAACTTACATGTTGTTGTTTTTTTTGCCAGTATACACACAGACAAATTCAAATTAACCACAAAATAAAATATGCCATCTTTACCACTTCATGATACATGTATGCATTTATCATATTTTATTCTCAAAATTTGGCACTGGTAATATTCTGACAAATAATCATGTATATTGTTCCTTTGTTTATAATCAGCTGTTTGATACTTACTCCCTTCTCTAACAAGATGTAGATTTCTCTTGTCCTCTTTCACCTTTGACTTTTGACCTGATAAATCTTGTGCCTTTTCCCTCTCTACAGCCACTATCACATTTAGCCTCCGACCATCAACAATGATTCCCTCCTGTACAAAAACAAAGGAAAAGAGTAAGAAAACAGTAATGGAGAACAGAAAACAAATGAACAGATCTCACAAGCAAGCCATTTTTTTTCAACAAGTCAGCAAACTCATGAGTTTGAGGAAATAAGATTTTCATGGAATTTTTTTTCTTTAAAATTTAAAATAGGGTTAATAACCTCACTTTTGAATTTTTTATAATTTTTGTATTAATATTATTTTACATTATTATACTTTCATGTTAAATACTAAAATCTGATTGGTTTAGACACATTTAACAATCCGTAATATTACCCTCAGCGTTAGCAACACACTTGACAACGGGTAACATTACGAAAATATCACATGCGTTCAAATCATGCGTGTACGGTTCACCGTAGAATTCTCAAAACATCCTTTGTGCATTTGAAAGAAGCCGAATAAACGACGTCAATAAAAGCTTGCATCCGATGTAGCTTACTTGAAAAAGACAAACGACAGACGAAACATCCTTGCTAGTGCAAACTTTAGGTGATAAAGGACTTTTTGAGTAGCAAACAAATAATAAAGAGGTTGGTAAATCTTTTACGAAGCTTTCCTATTGAGAAAAATAGAAGCGGGGAGTTTGAAAGCTTTCTAAGCGTGAAGTTAACGACGATCTCCGAATTTTTTAATGACATCCGAAATCAATAAGACATTCAGTATAATAAAATAAATAGTGCACGTTTTTGAGGGTAACAGTTGAAATTGACACCCCTCGGAAAACCATTGTCTACCTCCGCTGACGCGTCGGTTGACAATGGTTTTCCTTGGGGTGTCAATTTCAACTGTTACCCTCAAAAACGTGCTATTTATATAATACTCGTACACAGTTAGACATACATGTAGTTTCAGTGAATCCTCTTGGACAGCATAAATCATTAAATGTTATTACTGCGACTGATTATGCTTGATAATCTTCTATTATTACCCACAATTGGTTGAAAAATAAATGTATTTGTAATTAAGCATGAAATTGCTACATCCATGCTCTCATTATACTGTATGAATGATACAAATCATGTGCTCAGAAAACAATGAAGCTAATACCTCTTCATCTTCTGCTGCCTCTCTGAATCTCTCAGCATCTCCTTTAGTTTTGAACTGTACAAAAGCTGTTCCTGAAATAAACATCCATCACATTTAGTTGGAAATAGGGAAAATACAATGAGATGAGTGATGTCGTTTCTTTAACATACAATATCTTTAAATTACATGATATATAACATGCCAACAGCAAAAATGTCCATAGACAAAATGATTGTGCTTCTTACATACAAGTATTTTCTATATTAACAAGGTTGGATTCTGATATTTTTAAAAAGTCTTAAACTTTTTTTGTCAAGTATATTTTTAGTTTCTACACACATCATGCACATCGCTTAAATTTAAAAATCAAAGCAAAAAATAAGGGTCAATATGCTTCTTTTGGCACTACAGTACATTTAATATGACCTTTTTGCACTGAAATTTGTGTCTGAATCAAAAAACACATATTCGACTTTTTCCCTCCAATGTTTTTATCCAAATAAATCATGGGACAAAATAAACTATTAATCTATTTTAAAAAAGACACATTAAAATTGTGACAAAGAAAAAGTGTCAAATTGTTTTGCATAATCAATTATTTGACCTTTCTGCACTCACAAAATGTGATTTTTCTGATATTAAAAATTTAACAAGCAAGAAAATTATGTTAAAATCTTAAACTTTTGATGAATTCAAGCAGATTGATCAAAGTTATCTTATATATTCAGAAAAGAAAAAGTAATGTGGGGGTCTATGATGTAAATTTTTAGATATTACATGTACTAAAAATGTGTTAATTTTATGTTAAAATTGGCTCAATTTTTTCCTGGACTTTCAGAATATATTTACTATATTTGTCAAAATATGATGAAAGAATTCATAAAAAATAATTTAAAATATTTCAGAACAAGCATAAAACATTTCACTGCAAAAAACAGCTCTGTTTGCAACCAGCATGGAAAAATAGGAATCTAAACTTAACAGTACTGTAGATATTTCAAAAGGGAAAAATTTATCATTTTCTTCTAAAAAAACCTTCCGCCACAAAATACAGTTCCTGGCTTAATCCTATTTGAATGGAATTTAATCGCATTTTTTTCATTGGATATAGTTTAATTTTAAAAATAGCCTTAAAATAGATGAGGAATGGCAAGTCAGCAGGGCCTGATAATATCCCGGCCGAGGCACTTAAAGCTGATTTTGACAACTCAACCGACATACTTCACCCACTTTTTCAAAAAATATGGGAAGTAGAAACAATCCCAGAAGAATGGAAAGAAGGATACCTCATCAAGCTTCCAAAAAAAGGAGACCTCAGCGATTGTGCCAACTATAGGGGAATAACACTGTTAGATGTTCCAGGGAAGGTATTTAATAGGATCATACTGAACAGAATGAAAGAAGAAGTGGATGATAAGCTACGTGACCAACAAGCTGGATTTCGTAAAAATAGATCTTGTACGGACCAGATAGCAACGTTGCGCATTATCATCGAACAATGTGCTGAATGGAACTCCTCCCTCTATGTAGGCTTCATAGATTACGAGAAAGCCTTTGACAGTGTTGACAGGGAGACAATATGGAAACTTCTGCGACATTATGGAGTTCCTTGTAAACTGGTAAATATCATCCGCAACTCTTATGAACACCTGACATGCAGGGTCATACATGGAGGACAACTGACGGAACCATTCGAAGTAAAAACAGGAGTTCGTTGGGGATGTCTACTGTCTCCCTTTCTATTTCTTCTTGCAATAGACTGGATAATGAAATCATCCACGGACAATAGGAGAAATGGAATACAGTGGACACCATGGTCACAGTTAGACGACCTAGACTTTGCGGATGATTTGGCACTCCTATCACATACCCGGGCACAAATGCAGGAGAAAATTACAACTGTGGCAGAAACATCAGCACGGATAGGACTCAACATCAATATTGCAAAAACAAAGATCCTAAGAGCAAACACACCATCACATGCTTCATTAAATATAGAAGGAAAGAAAATAGAGGAAGTAGAACATTTCACCTACCTTGGCAGTATAGTGGACCAACAAGGAGGAACGGAAACTGACATCAAAGCAAGAATAGGAAAAGCCAGAGTAGCATTCCTGCAACTTGGAAACATCTGGAAGACCAAGGGAATTACAACACGCACCAAAGTTAGGCTTTTTAACAGCAATGTTAAGGCAGTGCTTCTATCTGGTTCTGAGACATGGAGGATGACTGTTACCACAACAAGCAGGATCCAGACATTTGTCAACTCTTGTCCGAGATGCATCCTCCAGATCAGATGGCCCGACAAAATCAGCAACATCAATTTGTGGCAAAGAACAAACCAAGCCCCTATAGAAGAGGAAATAATGCAGAGAAGGTGGAGGTGGATAGGGCATACTCTATGCAAGCCCAACAATAACATCACAAGGCAAGCCCTATCCTGGAACCCCCAAGGAAAACGTAGGAGAGGTAGGCCAAAGAACACCTGGCGGAGAGATCTAGAGGCAGACATTAAAAGAATGGGCAAGAACTGGAAGGAGGTTGAAAGCACTGCTCAGGATAGAGGGGCCTGGAGGAATCTTGTCTGCGGCCTATGCCCCAAAAGGGGTAGCAGGCATAAGTGAAGTAAGTGATAGTTTAATTTGCATTGTAGAATCCAGATTGAATGTTAGAACTTAAAAATGATGCAGGATTTTAGAAATAAAGGTCCAGACCAAAATCTGTTCAAAAGCCCAGGATCGAACCTCCTTAAAATGCATGCATTTGTGAAAGAATCAATACTCCTTGCAATGGCAAATTCCTGTTTCCCATTTCCTATTCAATATTGAGATCACAATCGCCTATATTTTCATAGATTTTTTTAAAGTACACTGTAAAGTAATTCGTCTATCAGCTGAATTCAGTCTCTATTCCTTACCTTTTGGTTGGCCCGTTTGATGGTTCATCACAATCTTTACATAGTTAATTTTCCCATACTCTGAAAACACATCCTCTAAACTATCTTCATCTGCCTCAAATGGAACATTTCTGCAAAAAAAAAAAAAAACAGAAATTAAATTACTTCTTCCCTTTTTGCTACATTTTATTTACACATTAATATTCTACAACTTTGAAATACACAAGTGCAATGTCATCTAAATGCCATCTAAAATGCTTACATTTTGCAGCTGAACAATTCTTTCATTGGCCAATTAATGATACTTTATATTTAATGTTGTTAAGACAGCAATAATTCCTTAAATCTGAAGGTCTGATTAAGTTCACTTCAAATGTTATGTGACATCGCACACAAATTTTTTTTACTAATAGTATTCGAGTCAACATTGGCATGAGAAATATTTCTAATAGTTTAAAATATAAATACTAGGGATGGCAATCACATAATTTTTTGTAACCGATTAGTTGTAAATTTTTCCTGACAGAGTAACCGGTTAATCGAATTGTTTGCAAATTCTTTTTGAATTATTCAAGTTTAATTTTTTTGAAAAGCAACTCATTATAAATGCTCATGATAATTTGAATGCTTTAGCTTTTTCATCAAAGTAGAAGCAGATGAAAAGTCTCTCTGACATCACAGATGTTTCGCCATCATCACAAGACAGGTATTATATGTCTATTTTTTTTCACAAACCTTGGCATGTAAAACATTACTGAGTAGAAAAAATAGTTGTTTTTAAACAACTTGAACAAAACAATAATTTTTTACAAAGAATAGCTTTTTAAAAAGGGTACTAAACTTTGATTAGTATTCAGGTATATAATGACAATTAATTATGGGGACTTGTTTTGACAGTTGTGCATCTTGTGAAATTTTAAATTGCTCATTAATTGCAGCATTTCAGATTCGTAAATGCTTCCTAAGAGTATTCTGGGAAAAAAAACTAAAATGTATTATGTTTATTAGAAAAAATTTAAATAAACCTGTTATGAAAATTGTAACTGGTTACGATCTTTGCAACCAATTAGTCAGTTAACTGCTTATCCGTTGCCATCTCTACTAAATACATATAAAAAAAAGACTAGATTACAGGGTTTATGAGGTTATATATACATGTACATTGTAGCACATGGTAATTCAGCATATATGACTTTGCCAATTACCTCATGCCCACATGTACATGTATATACATGTGTATATTCTCATACATACATGTAACATTTAAAAATTTTTTAAAAAAATAAAAGTTATTTCTTAGTACACTTCCACATCAGAGATCACTTACCGTATAAACAAAGTCCTGCCTTCTCCGACATCACTCTTTCTGTTGACTTTTCCTATAAATAGAAGAAAAGTTAGACTTTCACTAACCAATTGAAAAAAACAAAAACAAAAAAAGACCTTGATGAATGTTAAAATCAATGTGTACCTTATGCTAAATTTCTAAGAAACAAATTAAAAATTGCTATGTAATGCATACACAGGCTAGTAGAATGTGGGGGGGGGGGGGGCTGCCTCCCCCTTTTTTGAGTAGAGCATTTTGCTATAGTAAATTTTACGATATATGTTCCCACTTTTTGTTGCAGTAATGTCGAGCACTGGCAAATTTGAGGATCTGGACAGTTAATTACGTGGGTTTTTTTGGCAGTTTATTTTGGAAGTTGGCCCCCTCACTTTTTGGTCAGTTTAGGTTTTTTTCTTTTGTTGCTTGTCAGATTTTTTGGGGGAAGTCCCCCCCCCCCCCCCCACACTTTTGAAACCATTGCTACGGGCCTGATACAATAGAAAAATCATTTTAAAATTATGGAAATAAGGAATAATCTTTGAAAAACGATTTATCATAGGTAAATTTCTACAACAATTATACTAAGGAAATCTAAAAAAAACATAGCATCCTCTACAGCAGAAACTTTGTACCTTTTTTCTTTACAGGTGTATCATCATCATCCTCTGAAGTTTCACTCTCATCATCATCATCATCAGAATCATTCACATCTTCATCTGAATCCACTTCATCATCTGAATCTTCTTCATATTTGTCTTCGTTCTCTTCTTCACTTTCTTCCTCTTGGTCACTCTCCCCTGTCTCTTCTTCGCTGTCACCTGTATTTTCAATTTCATTGTCTTCACCTTAAACAGTAAACACTCTTACTTAAAAACAGGCAGAACTGATAAGAATTCCTGTATTTTATAGCATAGGTTTGTAGCATGTGAATATAAAATTCAACACCCCCCTTTTCCACCACTACCACACATATATTACATCTTCCACAACACAGTTTCTCTATGATAAGATTTTTGTAGAACATAACAAATTGCGAAATGTAAATGCCCTGAAGTACATACAGTATGTATAAAAGATTACAAAGTATGAAAAAGCAGTGAAAGTCAAGAGGATTTTTTGAACAACTATTTCAATGCTGAATATAACATGTATTTCTCCTTGTTGACAAAACATTTCAACACTATGATATTCACAGTAGCCCTTCACCTGAGTCTTCACTGCTCTCTTCATCCTTCTCCACTGTTTCCTTCCTGTTGTTACTTCCTATTGTGAGGCCTTTACTTCTCTGCTTATCTTCCCTGTCCTTGTTAACTTCCTGTTTGTTTGGATTCTCTTTTTCTGGCAAATTATTCATTTTAGCTTCAAACTTATCCTTTGGAATGGTCCAATCTACTGCTACTGGGCGATCTACAAGATGTGAATTTGCTTCATCATTTATTCTATACTTAAAAATAAGATAACTTCAACATATTTTCTGTTTCATAAGATTTGATAATAGGAAAATATCACATACTTAAAATAGGTTTGGCATTCATTTCTTTCAGAGCCTTTGAAGCATCTTCTGTTTTATCAAACTGTACAATTCCAAAGCCTTGGTGCTTTCCATCTATGGAAAACAAAAGAAACATACAACACAAAGAAAAAACTCTTTATCATTTACCTTTGTTTAAACAAATATGAATTTAATATATCTGTCTTTAATGAATACACACTCTTTAATTTGGGAATTTGCACTTCAGTTACTTCACCAAACTTTTCAAATGTTTCCCGTAGCTTCTCTTCTGAGCACTGCAAGAACACGATTGAGTAATCAATAGAGTTTTCCCTAAATTTCCAATAAATGCCCAATCCCTTTGTAATTAGAAATAACAATAAAATATGTTCAAACCAAACCAATACATGGAACTAAATAATATGAGTACACATTATTTTTCTTTAAAGACAATCATTGTTGTCACTCATGTTTAATATGCCTTTAAATAAATTTCGGAATGTCTCTGGATGAAAAGCTTCTAGCAAAATCAATATCCTCAATATTCTTAATTTCTTTTTTACTTTCTTGTACACTAATACATATTTATCAAACATTGGTACTCATGTTACCTTAAATGATAGGTTCCTGATAATTAACCTGGCTTTCTTGACTGTTTTCTGTGGTTTACTGGGAATGCTAGGAGTTGTTTCTTTACTTAGCTGGCAGGCCTTCAGTGTACATCCTAAAAATAGTATACATAATGTATGACCATTAAAGAATATTAAATCAACAATTTCCTAATTTATAACAATTTTCTAATTTTCTAGAGAAAAAAAAACTCTATTCCAACCTTTGCCTTCTTTTCCATCTATTTTTCTCAGTGCTCTGTTTGTGTCCCTGATTGACTTAAATCTCACAAATGCACAGGGAGGATCTCGGTCAGGGACCGAAAACTTCACTTTGGCTATATTCTTCACATTCCTAAATTACAAACAACCTTAAAATCAAACTGCAAGGCTACAACAAGAATACAAAAAATATATCTGACACTTAAGTAATTTGTAAATATTACAAGACAGAATAACTTTTGTGGAAATTTTGTTGATGATTAAGTAACGTTTGCTTAAAAAAAGGGTTATTATATATCTTACAGTTTGGCCAAAATATCTTCCACGTCAGTCTGTGCATGCTCCTGGGACCAGCCCTGGATGACTAGTGTTTTGGCTCGAAGATACTTCAATTCCTGCCAACTTTGATGTTGATCATGGGTCTCTGTAAATTAAGTATGAAGAGGAAAAATAACTCTCTGTCATTTCATTGAATTGGAGCAGGGTGCTTTGCAAAAAAATATATTATTAGTTATCCAGGTCCAATCAAGGGTGTACTGGGATTTACCCCGGGTTTTATTCCATAAACCCTGAGGCCAAAGGCTGTACACCCTCGATTGGACCTGGATAACGAATTTATCTCCTATGTACTCAAATAAATTCTTTTTAAAACAAGTCCAATCAACTGTGTTTCAAGTTATTGTTAAGATTTACTACATCCTACATCGTGACGTCATGTTATTTGCTTTTTATCATAGAGAAACTTTGCATTGTGACGTCACGTTTTTTTACCCCCGGCTCAAGTTGGGTGTACGGAAATATACATCCGACTTCGTAACCAATCAAAGCTCGTGTTACAAGCTACATAGGAAATAAATATATTTACTTTAGTTTCTTGAACATCAATATCTGGAACACCATGAATATATGATACCAAAGTTAGTTAGAAGTTCAAACCACTCAATGTATTTTTAACCTGAGTATCTCAATTCTTCATATATATCTCTGTTTTCTTTTTTTCTCATAGAGTTTGTGATAACAAAGTTTGACTGTTCCAATATTTCATACTTACTTACATTTAGATATAGTGTACAAACACTCGAAATAAAAGACAGCATTTTTTGGGGGAACAGTTCTGAACATCTTCAAAAACTTCATCTCCTTAAAACTAGTGGTATTTTGTTACTCACTCTGCATATCAGTGTCTTCAAATTGAGGTTTCTGAACTGTTTCCTCATCATCACTATCTTTATCTGACTCTTTTTCCTGATTTTCTTCAGTCTTAGCTCTAGGTTTTCTCTTCTCCTTTTTCTTTTTGTTAGCGTATGACACAAACAGTCTCCTTCCATCAAGAGACATGATTCTCGACACTGCCGCCTCTGCATCTTCACTAAAAAAAAAGGTGTACAAGTTAGTGCAAGATTTACATCACATGACAAATGAGATTCACTGAAGTAAAAGTCAGACTGTAAAAATATACTTACAACATTGAATATGTAACATAACCATAGCCTTTACATTTCTGAGAGTCTGAAAAATAAGAAGTCAAAATAATTGAAACGAAGTTATTGATTATAGATTATATAATCACTTAATCTGAAAGTGAATATTCTGACACAGTCCTAAGTGAACAGACTTGGCTGTCATTATGTCACAATGGTAAAATCATGCTTCTTATATTATGGTGTCTACATAACTTTGGTGCAGCTGAACAGTAAGTCGTATAATATCATATTCCGCAGATATGCTTTTGTGCCAATATAGTTAAAGGATGAAAAATCTTATATAATACTAATAAATATTTAACAAAGTATTGCATGGTAAGATCAGAGTTCGACATTAATGTTAGTCCGTTAGTCTCAGACTAATACATTTTCAATCGGACTAATAAAATCTGTGGCTAATTAGTCCGGACGTACAAATAAATATTTCTGGAAAAAAAATCAATAAATTACCAATGTTCGATTCTCGACAACTTTCACTGAAAAACCCGCGTGTATTTTTAGCTTTCTAGCTTCTTGGTGGGAAGTTAGGTAATTCCAAGTCAATTTGGTGCTTAATTTTAGGACTGATTGGTATGAAATTAAACATTTTTAAATTAGCTATCATGATTTAATATGACACATAAAGAAAGATACTGAATGTTTGGATGTAATGTATAGAGAAAAACGAACGAGATTGGGAATAATCGTAGTTCCTGATCGCTAGGTTTCAAGGAATCTTGGAATGAAACATTTCACGTAAATGCATTGTTCATTTCAAAAAAGTATTAAAAAAGTACATTCCAATGTTTGTTCTTAAATTACATTGATTTTTTTTTTGACGGACTCATAAAATCGCGTGCAGACTAGTAAAAGTAAAGAAGCACTAGTCCGGCCAGACTAAAGCCTATAAATGTTAGTGTCAAACCCTGTTACATTAAGAATGAATAAACCATTTCTTATCAAGAGACAAATTTAATGGATAAACATAAAATACTCAAACTCCCTTTTCGATTGATTTTGCCAGGGATGTATATACTAACAGCATAGGCAACTACTGCAAGTCTTGGACCGCTTGGCCTCCTAAGGTTTCAAAAGTTAACCACAACCCTGTGATGATTTTAGTAAATAAACATGGTGCTGAAGGAGTTGCCTATCCCGATACTGTATAGGTCCCTGATTTTCCAGTGGCGTATGATATTTTAATAGTCTCCGATTCTGCTTATTCCTACATACATACATTATGGTTTGGTAACTTATTTTCTGATAAAATTTCTTCATTTCGACGTATAAATACTAAATTTTACTCGAAACATTAATACAAAATAAGACAAGTGTATTTAATATATAAATTTGTAAACAATTGACAGTAACGTCCCACAATTTGTAAGTTGCAGCGAGATATACCTTTCTCTTTTACAACAAAACATGATCTGGTTGGACCCACTTCACTAAACAATGATTCAAGTTTATCATTTGTCGTTGAAAAAGGTAAATTTCGCACAAAAAGTGTCTTTGATTTCTTTTCCACATGTTCCTTCCTCACGTTGTCGGCCATGTTTGATTTTTGAATCTCGACCCCGAGCTCATTTAACACTAATTTTTGCGCAAAACCTGTGTTCGATCATTCAGAGAGTTGTATATCTAAATGCTCAATTTTATACTCTATAAAAGTTACATTTGAGTAGGTATAACCCCAAAAATATAACTGATGACATTTAAGTATTATTTATTCGAGAGTAGTATTTTTGTAAATCATTTAAAAGAATCATGATCGATTTGACTCCTGTCAGAGCTGATTGTTAAACCAATGATCTATCCATATAGTCAATGTTATTGATCATTTAATTGGCAATGAGTATAATTATATCTGATATATTCATTAATTTGACCTTTTACTTTGATGAATTTCTGTTCATGAGTTAATTATTATTCCTCCATAATTTATCTCATATCATTGAAAAGGCGTAGAGACATTGTATTAGTCCCCCCCCCCCCCTTTTTTTAGAGGTCCAGAAGGGGGTAGGGATGGAACCCACCTCGATCTTTGGGACATCGGTGAAGTTTTCTAATATCATTATTATATTTTTCAAAATTTTATATTGTCTAACCATTGAGCTGTAATATCAAATGCCTCTCTACGAGCACACGACGGGTGTGACCGGTCGACAGGGGATGCTCACTCCTCTATGGCACCTGATCCCACCTCTGATGTTTTGGAGGTCCGTGTTTGCTCTGCACCTATTTTGTAATGTTTAATGGACTTTTGAGCTTGAATACTGTTCGTTATCTTCATATATTTCAGGCACTTATATTGCCGGTTTTTATTTAATTTGATATGGCTATGATATACATGTACTAGATTGTGTCTGGACACCTCCCCCCACCTCCCCTCGAAATAATTAAATGGATCTACATCTAAACATTCAAACGAGGAATCCATGATCTTACATAAGGATTATTATTTTATATAATGTTCAATATTATACATTGCTGGTTTTTGAGGTCAATACGATGATTTAGACACCTGAGGAGTACTATATTCACCGAGTCCGAAGGGCGAGGTGAATATTTTAACTTCGAAGGTGGCTAAATCATCGTATTGACCGAAAAACAGCAATAATTGTTTTATTATATGATTCAATGATTAAATGACACACACTCATTAAGCAATCCATGCCATCTTACTTGTTCACATCTACTGAAGTACTTGCCGAACATAATGAGAGAAACGGGGTTAAAAAAACAAGCAGTTGTATTATTTTGGAATTTTTAATTCTAGTTTAGGTTCAGTGTACATTAAAAGAAAAAAAATGACAACTTACCTTAAAAGAAACATTTGACTAGCCCCCCCCCCTTCCCCCCAAGGAAAAGAATTCTCCCAACTCAAAATTTTATTTAGTGGGATGTAAAGGTCCATAAATGCGGGGAGGGGGGCTTTCATTGATTTTTTTTTTACCCTTAAAATTTAAACTAAAACTTTACATTCTGAAAAGGTGGGGACAGGGGCAGACCTCCTACAACCCCCCCCCCCCTTCACCCAAGAATTTATGTGCCTTAATGTTGTGTTCATATATATGAGTGGAAGTCAGGTGCAAGTAAAATAACTTTCCAAATCTATTTGCATCAATTTGGATTTCCCTATCTATATTTTTGGTCCAATGTAGAATAAATAATTCCTTATATTGACCTGGAAGGTCACGTGCAGGTCAATATAACGTAGTATTTTTCTAACATTGTTGGATCTCAGCCAATCAGAGAGATGGGAATTATTCAATCATATAATAAAATACATTATATGATAAAATATTTGACATATGAATATATGATGAGAACCCCTTGATAGTGAGTGTAACATTTAATATGCATGGCTGATTCTATAATGAAATTAACACAGTTGGAGGTGATATATGAGGTTATTGAGCAAATGGATGATAAAAAGGCTAGATTATATGTTAATTAAAAGATGTTCGAAAATCATTAAGGGAAAAAAAACGAAATTCAAAAAGAAAATTCGCAATCTCCTCCATGATTACTGTAGTGAGTGGTGTCTAGAAATAAACATTAAAAAAAAAAACAAAAGTAATAATTTTTAACAACTCGGGTAAATTACTAAAGGAAGCATTCCATCTGGGTAATGATATTATAGAATGTGTAAAACAATATAAATATCTGGGGATAACTCTTGAAAACAATTAATGGAAAGTTTATTGAAGCAAAAAAAAAAAAAAAAAAAAAAACAATTGTATCAAAAAGGCTTGAAGGCATGCTTCAAATTTTATAGAGATATAAAAATGCTAATCCTTCTATAAAAACATTTTTACATATATTTGAGCACTGTATTAAACCTATAGCTTTGTATGGCTGTTGGAACTGGAGCATTAATTATTAATGTTACTCCAAAAAGGAAAAAATGTCCCTCTTTTTCATATATTAAAAGACTGGGAAGTTGAAAAACTCAATATGAAATTCTGTTAATATATTATGGGGGTATCTAAAACTTGTACAAACGTAGGAATCTATTCTGAACTGGGAAGGTATCCATTATATATAGATATGTTAAAGCAAATTTTCATGTACTGGTAAAGACTAGAACATACATCATCTAATTTACTGGAGGCAGCTTTCAATGAGTGCAAGTCAAACACCATCAACAGTGATTGGTACTCCAGTATATCATTCTACAGTGAAAAAACTACATATTGATTTGACCCTTTGCAAAAAATTAAGTGAAAACAAATTTAAATTGTACATTAAAAAGCAAAATTTTACATGATAATTTTTTAAACTCTTGGAAAGATAATCGTACCTTAGAAGGATTTGGTAAATTAAGTACATATTTTAAGTATAAAGGGTCATTCAATTTTGAAAAATACTTGAATATGAAAAACCGGGACAATCGGGTAATTCTCACAAAATTCAGAATTAGTAATCATTGCTTAAGGGTAGAGACCGGTAGATATGGAAGGATACTTAATAAATGTGGTAAAAATGAAATTCTTCCCTGGAGTGAAAGAGTCTGTCGTTACTGTACTTCAAGTCCAACTGAGGATGAAATACATTTTTTGCTAGAATGTTCATTGTATAATGATTCTAGAGGAGAGTTTTTAAACAAAATCTTTAAAACTTTTCCAAATTTAATACTGCTTAATAATACGGACCTGTTTACATGGATTATGTCAAATGAAGATTCTGAGTTTGTTGTTTTATTATGCCAGCATTTAGGGGCAATTGGGGTAAGTGGACACTTGGGGTATGTGGACACATTTTTAAAAAATTACTTAAAAATTAAAGCAAACAAGAGTTATCAAACCTGTTCAGCTCTCGTTGTAAAGGAGGAAGCAAATGTGTTTACATCAAAGACAGGGAAAATTCAAGGTCAACGACTTCGATTGAAAAAAGGAGAAAACTGTGACTCGATCCGTAAGTAAACTGCACAGAGCCATTTTCTTAGTATTGTGATAAATACTGCAGACATTAACCACTGTTTAAATAAAAACTGTTCGCCTTTAAACAAAAGAACTTGTTTTCAATCTACACAATGAAAGATTGAAGCATCAGTTTTAAGTATGGAGTGTTTACATTGATGTATTTTTGCAGTTTATATTATTTTTATTGCATCATTCCTGTAAACAATATAATCTTCACATAAAAAATGGCTACCCTTTGAAAAATCTGTATACAAACATAATGAAAGCATGTGTATTGATAATAAAATATTCAAGTTCAATCCGTGAGAGGCGTTAATATTTGATAATAATAGACACTAGTTTTTCAAATATTATATCAATTTACACATTATTATGTTTTGTTGTTCAAGAGGAAGGGAAAATTGTAAGCTTTCTTTTTACGTTTACCTTTTAGAAAGGTCACGTGATAATGAAAAAAAAAATACGTTGTGTCCTTCATGGATTTATTACAAATTTCAAGATTTATTAAAAAAAAAAAATGCAATGAATGGCAACATACTCCTTGAAATTAATAATTTGCAAACACAAATATTTATTCGGTTAGAATTATTGATAAGATTAATTTCAAAATGTCAAAATGTCATATTGTGACCACTTACCCCAGTTTGTTGGGGGAAGTGGCCAGTGCAAAACCGTGACAATGTTATTTAAACAGCAGTCTCAGGTTTAATCTTTAGATATTCAGTTTGAATTGTATCAGTATAAATCTTAGTTTTATTTATCAAATTAATTTTTAAATGATATTTCTAATCATGAAAATAATACATAAATTGATTTTCTGTAACATAAATTTTAATAATTGCAAATTTAATTTAAAAAAAAAAGAAAAGTAAGGTATCTCTGATGGTAAATATTTTCTTGCACATAGATTTGGGGTTTTTATGTAACTAAAATAATTTTTTAAATTTCAGAAACGGAAAACATTGTAAAATGGCCAGAAAGAAAAAAGACTGGGTGCCCAAACAAGGAAAACAATGGAAAGTGGGACAGGAAATCATTAAGTAAAGCTGTTCAGTGTGTTAAAACGGGGAAAATGACCAAGTTTAAAGCTTCTAAGATATTTGGCATTCCAAGAACAACCCTGTCGAGGAGACTTTCAACAATGGATTTGGAGTCTCCAGCATCAAAACCAACCACTCTGTTTAAAGAGGAAGAAAACTCTCTTGTTAGTCACATTTTGGAGATGGAGAAACGCGGGTTTGGTTTGACAATATCAGATGTATGTAAGCTTGCATATTCAATTATTGCACACTCAGGAAGAAAAAATCCATTTAATGCAGACAAGAAAATGGCAGGATATGACTGGTGGCAGGGATTTCGAGACCGGCACCCATGCTTATCTCTCCGTAAACCTGAAGGTCTAAGTGCTGCTCGTGGTACTATGCTTAATCCAAATGTAATTTCAGACCATTTTACCAAGCTAGGAGATCTTATGGATAGACTCAATATAAAGTCAAAACCCCAGCAAATATTTAATGCAGATGAAACAGGATTTAGTACAGTTCATCAAACATCAAAAATTGTGGGGAGGAAGGGGAAGAAAGCCATTCATGCAAAAACAAGTGGTGAAAGGGGTGAAAACATTACAGTTTTGTGTTGTGTTAAAATGCTGAGGCCCATGTTTTGCCACCTATGGTGATTTTCAAAGGAAAAAGAATCAGTAAAGCTTTTAAATGAGCAGTGCCCCAAAGAACACACTGTTTGCATGCAGTAAAAGCTCATTTATTGATGGAGAATTGTTTGGAATATGGTTTGAAAAGATTTTTTTGTCCAACCTCTCACCTCAAAGACCAGTGTTGCTGATAGTAGATGGCCATGCCTCTCATATTACACTTCATCTTCTGGAAGCAGCGAAGACAAATGACTTTGAAATATTCTGCTTGCCGCCTCACACGTACAACGCATTGGACACAGCCACTGGACAGAAGTGTTTTTGGGCCCTTAAAGAAGGCATACTACAAGCATTGTGAATCATTTTTGAAATCAAATCCTGGCAGACAAATATCCAGATATGACTTTTGCAGAATTTTCTCTCATGCATATAATGAGAAAATGAATATGGTAAATATCTTTGGAGGTTTTAGAGCTACAGGTATTTTTCCTTTCAACCCTCTGGCTATTCCTGCAGAGGCATTTATTTGGGCCATCAAAAACTTCTGTCTTAGCTTCAGTAACCTGAGCACTACCAGTGAGGGCGAAATTGCATCAGCTGAGAACATGGCAGTCTCTATTGGTCAATCAACCCAGGTTCCGCAGAGCTCCTTGTCAGTTTCAGAAGAAATTACAGAAGCACTTCAACTTCCAACAGTTGTCAAAGAACCAGCTCAAAGAAAAACTAAGAAAGTTCTTGGTGCAAGATGTGTAACAGAGAATGAATTCATCAATGAAATCAGACAAAAGGAGGAAAAAAGAGAAAAAGACCAGATGGAAAAAGAAATAAGAAAAAAAGAGCGTGAAGAAAAGAAACAAAAGAAAGAGATGGAAAAATTGAAGAAACAGCTTATTAAGCCTACAAGTAAATCAAAGAAGACTACATCAAAGTCAAAGGAAAATATCCCTTCTCAGAGTGACACCATTAATTGCTGCTCCTACTGTGGGGGGTACTATTATGATGAAGATTCAGATGATGAGGACTGGGTTAAATGTACTAGTTGTGATGATTGGTACCACGAATCTTGCACTGGAAAATATGGACGCCAGCTAGAACATTTTGTATGTGACAAGCATCGATAATTTTTTTGATTTGGTTTTCCCCTTTCTTGTGTGTTGGAGAATGTTTACTTGTGTGAAATACCTTATACATTGGATGTTTTGAGTCACTGAATTATATTGATAATTTTATGTCATTAAAAATTTAGAAAAACATATGCATTTCAATATTTTTCATAAATGAAAAAGGGTAAAGATAACTAACAGTGATCAATCTCAGAAAACTAATTAATTTTAATTTTGAAAAAAGAAAAAAAAATTAATTAATTTTAACTTTTTTGTCGATAATATAAGGATGTGTAATTGTAGTTAGAATAATCAAACTGTGTCTCGGGACAAGCCCTCACCACAGTTAGAATACGTCCCATATACTTGCAATGTAGCAAATCGGAGTGGATCCACTCCGAAATGATATTGAAGAATACAAAAGGAGTTGCACTGAAAATAACTACCAAATTAATCATAACAAACCTTTTTGAGATTGTATATGCCTTTTAACTTAAAAAATAATCCATACAAATACGAAAATTTAATTCATTTTCTCAACTTTTTTCCTCGCTTCAAATTTAACGCCATGTTGACATTCGGAACTCTCTGGATTGTTCATAGAAAATGCACAGAGTATGAGTTATCGCCCGTGTTTATTTTGCAACATTGCCAATACACGGAACGAATTCTATCGTTAAACCGGGTCCGTAGGACAATATCATTTTAACGATAGAACGTTCTATCTAGTGTAATTGTATCTTCAAAGACAATGTGTACTGTTATTTCATAATTTTCAAGTACACTGTCCATTTACCCCAAATCTGTGGGGTAAGTGAACACTTTTTAAAATTTAACTTTTAAGCCCATATATTTCAAACCATTTGAATTAAGTTGAGAAATATTTCACAATACAAAGAGATAAGAGTGAACTATCAGTTTAGTATACTTAGTATACTACAAGAAAGATTAGTTCAGATTAGAAGTTTTCAGACTCCAATTAAACCCTTAATGTGTCCACTTACCCCAGTTGCCCCTAAATGAAAATTTTAATATGAGAAAACAACGTAGTACAATATATGCATATTTCAGTCATTATTGCTAGCGCTCTCGAGCGCTAGCAACTACGTTAGTCTATACTTCTGGAATACGCATGCTCGACTTCACGGTCGGGCATTCTGGGAAAACCACTGTAGATAGACTGTGCGATAACAATTTCGTTTTGTCATACAAATATAGATATGATCAGAATTAATTTACACTAGCCTTTCCTGTCTGATATGTGCGATATACATTTCTTACGTTAGAGATAGGCATTACCAGTCTAGATCCGGTTCTGAATTTTTTTTATTTATTGCCTAACCTACACTAAAGTACAAGAAAACTTAGGTCATATAATGCCAAGATTCTAGACATCTAGCTTTCCTCACAGTTATACCACCTTCCTGGATAATTTCGGCAAGCTCGGAAAAAAATCTTTTCAGAGTATGTCGGAAAGACATGTCAGTTTAGTTTTTATCATCTGAAAATACATATGATCTGAAGTTTCGTGTTTTGTTGTCTATCCTGCACGTAAATGAACAAAAAGTAACAGTTACTCGGGTCTTATAAAACGAAGACTGTTATTTCTATAATTGTAATGAATACCTAGCTTTTCTAATCTACCTTCATTGATTTTTCCGGCAAGTTCGGAAAACCGCCGCAACCTCGGATATGTTTACCGAGCTTGCCGGAAAGTTCCGAGAAGATGCGATTGCTAAAAAACAGTACCACACTGGAATATTTTAAACTAGGTGGTCATTGGTTCTACTGACCTTTATTTCACCTCCAAATTGAAATTACAGTAGAATACAGAATGCAAAAAGCACAGTCAGGAGTTATGCATTGCCGACGTGAAGCCCACTCTTAGTTTAACCATTCTGAATTATGACCCCCCCCCCCCCGACTCAACCCCGGCCCCCAGTGCTCCAATGTGCCTTCTTATTAATAATTAATCGATTCAGCAAATTTAACAAATGGTTCAGATATCTTCTGTATTTTATTATGCTACAGCGCTAGTTCACCAATCTTTTTAAAAGATAAGCTTGTACATATATATGCTATTTGTATACATTTTATGCATCCTAAAAAATTGACAGCTAACTCTCTGTTCAATATACAATTGTTTGTTTTGTTCTGTTTATTGTTATTTATGACTATGATTTCGGACATTAATTGTTCATCTTTATGCTCCACTGTGGGCCCAAATTGGTTGAATAAAGAATGTCAGACACCTCGGCCCAACGACACCTCGGCCCAACGACATCTCGGCCCATTGACACCTCGGCCCCAACGGGTCGGCCCAAGATTTGAGACACCTCGGCTCACGTAAAAGACACCTCGGCACAAACAAAAATGTATTATTTTAAACATATTTATTTGATATTTTCTTAAGTATTTTATTATTATAGGGACTATATGCGACGGATTATATTATTATATATATCCATGAAATAAAAAAGAAAATAATTGAATAATCTTCCGAGAGTAAATTGACGGTAATTAAAAAAAAATTGTCCATCACATAGTGCTAATCGTTAAACAAACAAGAATACGCAGCGCATCCTTCGAAGTCTCAAGCGCGTGTCATATGGGGTGGTGACAATGAGGAGTTAATTACGAGCAGGCTAAATTAATCCAATTGTTGGGTACAAACCACATATCTTCCTTGGTTTGTTTAGGGAAATATATCCATTATGCTCTAATATTACGCAAAGATCTATCAGGTTAACGTAACTTCTATCTGTGTAAGGTTAAGGTTAGTTTATAAATAAAAAAAAAAAAGAATCAATTAAGACATCTTATTGATCAGGACAGAATACCTCAGGACATATGCTACTGTGCACTGGTTTATACATATAATTATTATATATAGTTAAGTGTACAATACGCCCCTACTACAAAGTGATTTTTAAGTAAAAGAATTCTAAATATTATGAAATGAATAAACTTGCATTTTCATAAGCAACAAAATACATAAATAAATAGATCTTCTATCTCCCACTCAATAAATACAACAGCTGACATCTACGCTGTCGTTCGTTCAAAAATTCTGAAATTATTTGCCCGTTTATCGTATACATACCGTCATTATAAACATATCTTCATTTATATTACCATAGGGAATACAGATAATTATTCTAAAAAAAATTCCTTGGGCCGAGGTGTCTTTAGTATGGGCCGAGGTGTCAATAATTTTGGGCCGACCTGTCAGGGCCCAGGTGTCAAGCGTGACGGGCCGAGGTGTCGTTGGGCCGAGGTGTCTGTCTACCTGAATAAATACTCCCCCCCCCCCCCCCCCCCGGAAAGTGCGTTGCACGGGTCTGATATGGTTGGTGTCGGATCGGGCAACAATTAATCTTTTATTAATTTTTTTAAAAAATTTAATCAGGGACCTAAATACTAACGCGAATATAGGTCCCTGATCCTTCAATACGTCGGAACTAAACATCTTGACCGTAGTTGGTTTTGTTCTTATTAAAGCGTCTGAAAAACCAAGAACAAGAGAAAAAATTGCCGCCAAATTTATTGTTGTAAACACAGTAGTGCCAGGTAATGAGTGCTATATTTTCCCAAAAGTGAACACAGGGTATCATAATGCAGGTTTTGAATTTAATAGCCAGGGTCAGAATATGGGATTGTGTGTGGCAATAGTAAATAACGATATATTTGTAAAGACAAAATGTATGGGGAGAATCAGCTGATCACTGCTAAGACGGCAGGACAATGGACATTTCTTGCTAGATCTGTTTATGTCGAACGTGGTTTACTAGTTTTGATTATATGTCAGCCTATGTGCTTATCTAAGAAGTATGATGGTTGTCCAGATTGTCAGTAATGAGTCTAATGACAATGACCATGAATGTTTTGCATGTGCATTGTATGATCAGTGCCAGGAAATGCATGTAACAGCAGATCTGTGATTTACTAGTAGTCTATAAAAGAAATTGGGATATTGGCCTGACAAGATTTTTTATGCTCTTATTTTCAGACACAGGAAGCTATTAACAGTGGTTGTTAGAATGAATTGTCAGGTCCAGCACATTCTCTTGATTTAGCTATATAGCTTGATTTAGCTATATAGCTTTATTAAGCTATTCAGAATAGCTTGATTTAGCTATTTTATCACACTGTTTTCTTAAATGTTTATTTTCTTAGCATGCACAAAAAGTCGCACCTTGGTGCAGTGATAATTTTCAACCTTGAACTCTTCTGAAAATAATGCATGTAAAAATCACTCATCAAATTGCGTCTCCTTAAGAGACTTTGTACTCAAAGTTCTAAAAGTTTTGGGGCTATATAAAGCAATTAATACAGTTACTTCTTCATTGAAATTATAAAACAGGCCAATTATGGTCAACAAGATAATTGATTGGTAATAATTCACTACAATGAGAAGCAATCATACTTATCCACGCCTCAACGCAAACAAGGTAGTGTACAGTTACTCAATGGAAATTCATCTTTTGCTTAAAAGTATTCAAATGCTGCAATGTTAGAACTATCTTCGATTTCGGTTGTTGTTTTGATAGCCCATAGTACATTTATGAATAGTCAAATACGTGCGACTTTTTGTCTATTTCTTACAAAAAAACTTTTTTCTGAAAAACTGCATATAAATAGCTTTATCAAGCCATTTTGAATGGCTTAATAAAGCTATATAGCTATTTCAAGCTATATAGCTAAATCAAGAGATTGTGCTGGACCTGATTGTCTAGTGTAAAAATAAATTTAAAAAAAATCATGATGAATGATTAACAGATTAAGATCTTTCAGCTAGCAGGCTAGCATAGCTTTGAGGCTGTAGCCTTAGACTGAATATTTTAAAAGTCTCTAAGACTGTGCACAGGGCTTTTTTGTGCACAATAAATTAACACGTTGTCCTTGGTATTACAGTTATTTTCGACCCAGTGAACTACAGCAGAGACAACAGAGATTCACAACCATTCAAAACCTTGAAGTCATATTGTTAACTTTTTTCAAATCTCACAATGTCTGAATCCCATAAATATGTAACATTTTCAAGAATTACAAAGTGAAACCTTTTAATTCATATCATCAGATGATTCATAATGTTAAATTTTCATAAGTTAATTCAATTACTGTAAACAACATGAACAAAGGAGAAGTTTGAAAAAGGAACAGGTTACCTATGGTCAGCCATATCTCCAAGATTTTGTCAACTTTTGTTCATTAACCTCTTTAACATGCCTAGTTTACTTTTGTTAATCAGTTGAAATTGTTATCAATTCTCATAGCCATATACGAGAGTTGTTCGATAAATTCATAGACAAGTTTCACTTTTTTACCATCTTTATAGACAGGTATTTATTTTGTATGTCATCTTATTATGTAAGATAAAATGCATAAAATATGCAAAAATCAAAGAAATTCATCAACAAATATAGAAATGCCAAAAAAAATTATGAAGCATGATATCGATAAGCGGCGCAGTAAAATTACCACTAGTAACGTCAAAATTGACATCAATGTTTTACTCTTTTTCAAAGTGGACGTCTTTAAGGTTCACACATTTCTGATGTCTTAACACCCATTTTTGGTACACAGAGTTAAACCAACTTTTATCGTAAGTTTTGATAGCTTTTTGTGTTGTTTCTTTCAACATTGTAAGGTCTTCAAAATGATTTCCTCTGAGGCAAGATTTGATGTATGAAAAAAGGGCATCGTCCATAGGTTCTAGGTCTGGACTTTAAGGAGGGTGCTCTAATCTCTCAAATCCCAACAGATCGAGCTCTACTGTAGTTGAGACAGCCATATGAGCGGGGGCGTTGTCTTGGTAGAATATGATCCTTTCAATGTTTGCGGCAAAATTGGGTCTTTTCTTACGCAATCTAAATATATTGTGATTGTCTACCAATGTATTGAACAACCCTTGTATGATGGAATTAATATTAAATTAAGATCAAAATATGAAACCACTAAAGAATAGTTTTCGGGTGCAAGTTCATGCACATAGTTTAGCAACTAAACCTTTTAATATTGGAGTTGCAAATTTCAGTTATTTATGTCACTGGTTACAGATCTGCAGCTACTGTAGAACTAGACACACTGTTTATCATCTTTATAGGTAAAATGTTTCATTTCGAATAATCTGAAATCTAAGAGCAAAAAAGGAAATTGATAGTATTGAAATGAGGAGGGTTGAACTTAAGTGCAGTATGTATGATGTGTGTATATTTGACAGTTAGAAATGAAGGTAACAACTCCTGAGATATCCTGGCATGAACGTGATCCTGTATACAGCGCTGATTTCCAACCTGGAAAACACAACATCCAGAGAATTGTTACAGCTGGTGTTGACAAATATGCCAGGGTAATGAAAGCATTATCATTCATATCTCTAGCAAAGTTAAAAATAATCACAACTTATCTGAAAAAAAAAATTTTTGCTTAAAAAATATCAATGACTATGATTGAATGCAATCCATACTGAATCTTTAAGCTATGGATGAATTGTGAGAGAAAATTTTTTTTTCAGATATGGAAAGTATCTGTTGATACGGAGGGAAAGTGTAGTGTGGAATTTCTCTCCAACTTGAAGAGACATTCAAAATCCGTAAATGTCTGCCGATTCTCTCCTGATGGTTTGTTTTATTATCTAATTCAAGAAATCTAAATTTTGTGAAATATTCATCTTTGAAAGAAATACCAGAAAATCTTTATATGAATATCCATGGGAATATATGATAATTAGGACATTGAATTTTAAATTATTTATGTTCATTTCATTATCAATATTTAAGGGTGTCGTAGATTTAGCTTCTTTTTATTTATTTATTTTTTCTTCTTTCCACAGGAGAATATTTGGCAACAGCTGGTGATGGTAATGTATTGAAAAGAATGTTCTTCAAGTTAGATAAATTTTCATTAAAGATTATACATGTATGTGTATAAAATCACTGTCATATGATCATGACTCAAAATTAGAGTTCATTCATTAAGTTTAAAAAATACATTGCCATTAATATCAAAGCAAACCATTTATTGATTGATGGTAAATTTATATTTAAATTGATTTATGATAGGAGCAAAAATACAGTCTGCATTTTATATGCTTTATACATGTATCAAAGTCCACAAGAAATAGTTGGGTTGGGGTGTGGTGGTGGTACATAAGAGTCTATGAAATTAGAATTTTTCCTTGCATACCATGTGTAGCAGTTTTTAAAATATATTTGATGTCTGTCTTGTGAAATTGATCATTTTGAACATGCTGATTTTTATACCAATCTAACAATGTAGAAGGAAATTAATATCTAATTAGAATTGATTCTAGTTTAGGATATCGAGAAAAAATTAATCTATTATAAAAAAGCATCTTTTATCTTCAGATGAAGTTGTTATATTATGGAAGTTGAGTGATTCTACAGCAAACCCAGGAAATCTGTTCCAAGAGGAGGATGAAGACAACAAAGAAACATGGGTAACCTGTAAAGTTTTCAGGTACTGCTCTTAAATGTCATTTTATTTACTACTTAAAGTCATTAAAATACTACGGTTTGATATCAGCTTATTATGCCCCGCCATGAATATGGCCGGGGCATATAGTGTTTGTCATGTCCGTCTTCCGTCCTTCCGTCTGTCCTTCCGTCACACTTTGCGTTTAGCTCTGTTCAAAGCTCAATTTCAATGAAACTATCCAAGATATTTTTATCAAACTTCATATGCTGATAGATGTTGATGAGAGCTATGCAACTGCATCAACATTTTTTGACCCTGACCTTTCCTTTGACCTTGACCTCACTTTTCTTCAATTAGTGTTTAGCTCAGTTTTAAAGATACCATTCAAGATATTTTTATTAAACTTCATATGCTGATAGATATTGATGAGAGCTATGCAACTGCATCAACATTTTTTGACCTTGACCTTTCCTTTGACCTTGACCTCACTTTTCTTAAATGAGTGTTTAGCTGTGTTTTAAAGATACCATTCAAGAGAGTGTAATCAAACTTCATATGTTGATGCATACTGATGTAAGCTATTCAACTGCATCAACATTTTTTGACCTTGACCTTTCTTTTGACCTTGCCCTCACTTTTCTTAAATTAGTGTTTAGCTCAGTTTTAAAGATACCATTCAAGAGAGTGTAATCAAACTTCTTATGTTGATACATACTGATGTAAGCTATTCAACTGCATCAACATTTTCTGACCTTGACCTTTCTTTTGACCTTGACCTCACTTTTCTTAAATTAGTGTTTAGCTCAGTTTTAAAGATACCATTCAAAATAGTGTTATCAAACTTCATATGCTTATACATACTGATGAGAGCTATTCATCTGCATCAACATTTTTTGACCTTGACCTTTCCTTTGACCTTGACCTCATGTTTCTTAAATTAGTGTCAAACTTCATATGCTGATACATACTGATGAGAGCTATTCAACTGCATCAATATTTTTTAACCTTGACCTTTCCTTTGACCTTGACCTCACTGTTTAGCTCAGTTTTAAAGAAACCATTCATAATATTTTTATCAAACTTCATATGCTAATACATACTGATGTATCCTTTTCAACTGCATCAACAATTTTTGACCTTGACCTTTCCTTTGACCTTGACCTCACTTTTCTTAAATTAGTGTCAAACTTCATATGCTGATACATACTGATGTAAGCTATTCAACTGCATCAATATTTTTATATTTTTTCACCTTGACCTTTCCTTTGACCTTGACCTCATGTGTCTCAATTTGTGTTAAAATGTTGCATTACTAATATACCCTCGGCGGGGCATTCATGTCCTATGGACATATTTCTAGTTTGTTTTTTTACTTCGATTTATGACAGGGGTCACTTAGCAGAGGTATATGACTTGAGTTGGTCTTCAGATAGCAAGAGAATAGTTTCAGGATCTATGGATAACACAGCCATTGTATGGGATGTTGTCAAAGGTATGATAAGTAAACTCAAGACAAAATTTCAAATAATACAACTGTATCTCTGTAATGTTTTTATGTCAATTCATTATGCATCCATGCAATCAGGTGAAATCAGTATCAAATCAATAATCCATAACCTTTCTTGAAAAAAATCATACATTGTCATTTCATTTACTAAAAAACATAAGTCTCTTAAACATACCTGTAAGCTTATCAAAACCTCTTGTTCACTGGGAGTCTGAAAGGCTTGTGGTATGTAATGAATGCAAGTTCGGTGGAGTGGAATGGGACACTACTGAACATGAGGAATGTTCTGTTTTTGAATTCTATTGAACACAGATATGACTGATAGTGAACATGTAATGGTTTAGGAAATTGTTTTGATATTACGTACTTTATACTTGTAGAACAAAAAATTGCCATGTTTAATGAGCACAGAAGTTTTGTACAAGGAGTAGCCATGGATCCACTAAATGAATATATTGCCACTATGAGCACAGATAGGTAATTTACTTTTATCTCACATACAGGTAAACTTCGGTATCTTGAACACCGATATGTCGAATACCACGGATATCTCGAAGTGAATCAATGGTCCCGGCCATTTTTATTATATTTATGATTTTAAAAAACCCCGATATCTTGAACACGGAAATCTCGAATACCTCGCTTATCTCGAAGTAGATTTACGGTCCCAAGTACTATAAACATTTGCATTATCTCAAAGTCCAACAAATTTCTCGCTCCGCTGAATTCACACCTTAGTACACAATTATCCCATTATACTAATTTTACGATCTGTTGAACGTTTCCGTTAGGTCTTGCACAGGCTTCATGGGACCATTGTTGATAATCACACCTTATTAGCCCCCAAGCTTTTGTTTTTGGTAGTTAAATTTAATAAAGCAGGCCAGGTGATTTGGAGGTGTTAATAAAATGCACACTCGGAAATATGATGACACGATAATGAAACAGCGGCTTGGGGACAATTACTGTAATAGGAATTTAAATTTATCATAAATACATGCTTATACACATTATTACATATCAAAGTAAACACTGAACACATCAAAGTGATATTAAACTCAAGAAATTAAACAATTAAAGACATTATTTTGAGTATAAAAGTCAGTACCAAAAAATCTAAATCTTCAGTACACATCATATCTGATAAGGCAATCTAACAAAGGACCCGGTAGATAATCCAGGGGGATAGTTAGATTATCTGACCGTGATGTAAAAAGAAAACTTAAAGTTCATATAATCGAAACAAAGTGCTTTTGTTTATGCATATTGGCAATTTCAAAAAATTATTGTAGAACGATAGTTCCTGTTTCCGTTTTAATCCTTACTACAGTGATCGGTTTATCATTTACAACGCGTAACACATATCCGGGTATCAGAAAATCCGAAACCAGCATGATTATCATTATCGCTATTGAAAGAGATCGAAATTTGTAAAATGTAAGTGTTGCAGTATTGGATAAAATAAAATATGCATTATAAGTGTATATGCAAATGTATTTTTAAAAAGATATCACCAAGTACGAACTGAAACATTTACCGCTTAAATTTAAATTATGCACGTGGTGGAAAGGGGGGAGGGGTTAATTTCCTGTTAATAGAACATGCAACATAACAATATCGGTACCAAATTCATCAACTTCAATATCTCGAACACTCGGATATCTCGAAGTTTTTCCTCAGTCCCACCAAGTTCGAGATATCGAAGTTTACCTGTAATTAAAAGTTGATAAGCTTCCACTCTATCTATTTAAAAGAAAACCAGTCTCAACCAACTCAAGAAAAAACAAAATAAATTGAAAATGAATGTATATGTCATTTGATGGTCTATGTAGTTCATGGTCGTGACAATATTTATTTCCTAAGTAAAGTAAACTTTCTCCGTTTCACTTCTCTGTGGCATCAATAGTTACAGTGAAGGAATAGATTCTAAAATTCATCTGCTCTGTGTAAATGAATCCATTTAATCTTCTCTTCTACAGGTCATGTCGGATATTTAATCTATCCAGCAAATCCTGCATCTACAATGTATCCAAAATGTCTCTGCCTGCTCCGAAAAACTCGGAGGGTAACCCTGATGTGAAGCCAAAGTCTTTCCGCATGTTCCATGATGATACGATGAGGTCGTTTTTCCGACGGTTAAGTTTTTCTCCTGATGGAGAGATTCTTATAGTTCCTGCTGGATGTATGGAAATGGGGGAGAATAAAATCATCAACTCCACGTACCTACTGCCCCGATCCTGTCTAAACAAGTAAAGGAGTTGGTTTATTACATTTAGAATTGGGATGCCAAGAATTTTTGTATTTTAATGTAGTGCAGGGCATGTTTTTTAATTTGTGGGAAACAAAGTTAAATAACAAGCACAGAAGTTTTAGGTAATGGGCTAGCATTGTTTTAGGTTTTGCATTCTGATGAATTATAGATAAATAATTAAAAACATTCAAAATGTGATGTACTTTTTTATATTAAAAGTAGTGCTTGATAAAATTATATGATTGTCAGCTGATGTTCAGTTTTTCTTGTCAGGCCCGCAGCTTACCTACCTAGTCCTCAGAAAATCACAATCTGTGTGAGATGTTGTCCTTGTTATTTCAAACTTCAGAAAAACAATGAAAACTCACCAGGTACATGTATATTTTATTTATTATCACAAGATAATCACTGTTATACATGTTGCATGAAAAAAAAATGCCTATTTTGTTGTATCAAATTAAACATGTTCAGAAAAAAGTGTTTTTCAATGTTTTCTTTGTAATGGATTCTTTGGAAGTTCATGTTTTAAATGACATTGATTTCTTATAGATCATTCAAATAATAACAAGAAAGAATGGGAAAAGTGCTCATCATTATTTGCGTAAGTACTTGGTATTTCTGTTCATACATGTATATTACATGTGCTTTGCTGTTTTAATGTATAAATGGAGAAAAAAAACTTAACAATGGCTGGTGTATCAGCCACAGATTAGGGCCTTGTCAGTAAAAGGAAAAACGGATATGTGTTATTTTTGATACAGTAAATTAGAAGTATTCAGTAGTGGTTGATGTTTTGTAAAATTGTAAAATCTAAAAAGTAAGATGCACTTGTCTTGGTTACATGTATGATTGATTATGTTTTCTGGTCATTTCAGATTACCGTACAGGATGGTATTTGCAGTAGGCACAGAGGACTCTGTTTTGTTGTATGACACACAGCAACAGTCTCCATTCGCATACATTAGTAATATACACTATCATCAACTTAGTGATTTAGCATGGTGAGTTTTCATACTTTCATCCGCCATATAATTTATGTATGATATTCAAATGCATGGATTTGATTTTTTTTTTCGACTCAGGTGACCTATTTCTATTGTCTTGAGACATCTCTAATGTGTTAACATTTCAGCTTCTTCTCTGTAACTGCTGAAGTAATTTTAACAAATTTTGGCATATTGTATCTATGGGAAAGGGGAACTAAAATTGTGAATTTCATAGTCCCTTTCTAAAAACAGCACAGTTCACTTCACAGTATTGACTTTGATATCAATCTATGTCAATCAGCAGATTACTCATGCAGACAGAATGTCTACTGCATGCCTAAATCAAGCCACTGAAATATGGTCATAAACACTTCAGTTTTTATCTCATGTCAATGAAGTTAAGATGAGCTTATGCTATACCCCAGTGTGAACATTGCTGTCCTGGTTAAACTTTTTAGAGTAGGTCCATTCCCAAGTAACTTTTAGCCCTACTTGGACCAAACTTGCATTGATGATGCATCTAGGGATAGACACTACCAGACTTGCTTCAAATGCTGGATCTGTCCTACATTTTCCAGATGAGTGACTTTTAGCCTTATGTGAATCAAACATGCATGCATCTAGGGATGGAATGTATTAGATTTGCTTGCAATGCTAAATCTGACCTACATTTTCTGGATGAATTGAGTTTTTGGAGCAGATACATTCCCAAATAACTGTAAGTCCTACCAAAACCAAACTTGCATGGGTATTGATCTCAGAATGCACACTGACTGGAAAAAATTTGAAGTTAGGTTTGCCCTAATTAAAGATAAAATTTGTAAGCTTTTTTAATCTTTGACAACCTGATTCACATGTATGAAAAATGCAGGCATGCTGAAGAAGTTATCTTAAAACTCTTGCATATCATAGGATGAACTTGAAACATACCTTAAGCTTAAATGAAATGAGGGTAATAAGGCTATCCTATCTTAGGAGACTTTCTTATCCTTATCTTTAAAACGACTTATCCTATGACATATCTTGGCTGATTTAAGAAGCGCTAGTGCCTCAAAACAACTAGGAATTATGGAATTTACAGTTTTTGTGTAATTTAATCAAATAACTTTTGTGAAAAATTAATATCTTTCATGAATGAATTTAATTTAGTGACATTTGAACCATGTCAGTGTATTTGTATTCATGATTATAATGACTATATTGCAATTGTAAATGAGATACACATTATATTGCTCTTTATGAATTGTACATTAGGAGTCCGGATGGACGAACTCTCCTGGTTAGCTCCACTGATGGATACTGTACGTTTATCCAATTTGGCAAAGATGAACTTGGAGAGCTATACACAGAAACAAAAGTTGAAAGTTCAGAGGTCAAAGAGGAGAAAGAGAAGACACCATCAGAAAAGTCCAGTCCAACTGCTTCCTCAGTCAGTTCAAAGGTCAGTCGCTAGGATTTGAATGCATTTCATATTTGTTATGAACATGACAAGAAATTACAAAAATCTGACTATCAGACATACACAAAAATCTGACTATCAGACATACACAAAAATCTGACTATCAGACATACACATACATTTACATATTTCCGAACTGTTTCAAAATCAATTGAGTTTCTTGGACCAAACCCCGAAAAATAAGTTGCAGTCTTTAAAACCAGTCACTCTTAAACCTTTTTCCTTGGTAGGGAAAGAAAAAATGAAGAAAATAATTGTTTTTCTTAATATTAACAGCTCATTATACAAAATTAATTCTTTCAACAAATATCATTCATTGTTCAACTGACTGTAGACAAAAAAAAAGAATGATCATTCAGTTGTGACTGTTTGTTTTCAGTCGGAAGAACCAGTAATTATGGACACAGACAGCGGGGATCTTAATCTGGTGTTGGAGACCACGAATGATGCTACCTCACCAATAGTAACTACACAAAACCAGAAAGACTTGTCTGAAAATAGTGCCAAGAAAGACACTAATGATTCAATCAAAGCTAGCACACCCTCAGGTTTCCAGACCACTCCCTCAGGACCAGGCAAAGAGGGGACCAGACAACAAAATTCTAGCACACCCTCAGCAAGGAGTAAAACTGAGGAGGGTTCCAAAGGGACCCCCACAGGCCAGCCAAGGAGGATTCAGTTTATAACTCTGTCCAGTGGGAAAACATCTTGAATAGATTTTTTTTACATGAATATAGAGGAAAAACTTTTGGTTGTCAGAGGTTTGAAAGCTATCAATCTAACTTACTTGCAGTGAGGTGTAATTGAAGAGAGAAGAACATGGGTGGAATTTGAACAGTGTATGGTGTATTCTGAACTGTAGATGGCTGTGCTATTTTTAGGTGAAATTGTGGTCATTTTTGTGGAGGATGCACTAGTCTGTACACATCAGCAGGAATACAATAGGAATTTTACGCAATTGGGGAACTCTGCTGTTTCTTCTGTTGGCTTGAAGAGACTTGATTGTATTCACATGTTAATGATATTCTATTTTCTCAGTAGGAATGGACTTGAGTGTATTCACATGTAGCTGCTATTCTGCTAGCTTAATAGGATGAGCTTGTATTCCTCTGTTACTGTAAATCAAATGAAACAACTCATGATTTTTACTTTTTGTTAACAGAAGCATAAAACTGTGTCAACATTTGTCCTATGATTACACTTACTAGAAAAATTCTGGGCTTGATTGATAAGGAAGTTACAAGTGGTAGCATATACATGCCATATGTTTATTTCTATTTATTATTTTTGTAAGCAAATTTACTAGTTAGATTTTTAATACTATGAATACAATACATGTGCATATGTAACCAACTTTTAAAGATGAGGCAGTAAATAAAAGTGCCATTGCAATTTGTAATTTATGCTCTTCACTCTAGCACAGGCTGAGGAACATGACTATAAGCTTATAAATTTTTATAAGTCCGTCTATGATGGGACGTATTATGATATAGCAATCAAGACTGTCCATCTGTCTGTTAGCTTTTTCATTTCCAGCTCATAACTTTATTACTATAATGGTTTGGGCCATGGATATCGGCCTGGGTCAGTCTGTAGAGCACCTGACAAGTGATGCAGGGGTACTGGGTTCGATTCCCGGTCCAGTCGTACATTTTCTCCTTTCCTGTTAATTTGGTGCCATTGACCACTCATGCCCTGGAATTGCAGGTGAAAGTCCTGCCAGGGACTAATAAGAACTTGGTTTGTGTCTTCGCCCGCGAAGACAATTTAACTAGTGTTAAATGGGAGAGAAAATGCTTGTTAGTAACTTTGCTATGCTTACTTAGTTTTTAATGAAACCCTTTAAGGTTGTTGGCATTTCTTTGTTTGTCATCAGGTAGCTTTGATTCACAGGCACCTATATAGTTTTCCTATATATATATATATATATATATATATATATATATATATATATATATATATATATATATATATATATATATATATATATATAAAACCCCTGTATAATTTATTAAGAAGGGATGTGTATATATTTCTTCTTCTTCCAGTTCAGTGCAAAACCACTAAGTATTATCGCACTCTGCGTGAGGGGGTGCGTGTCTATGTACAGTGCTCAATAAAACTTTAAAATTAAAAGATAAAAAACGCAGGTGTGATTCTAGTGGCTGGCACTGGACAGCTGGGTCTTAAAGCTGTCCAGGGTCTTGGCCTCGACTGCTCCTCCTGGTAGTGAATTCCACAACCGGATGGCTTGAGGGAAGAAGGAGGTCTTATACACTTCTGTTCTGGTGTGTGGTACCAGGAATCGCAGGGCATGGCCTCTGGTTCTCAGTGATGATGGATGTAGGTAGGTCTCCGCCGGGATGTCCACAAGATGGTAAACTATCCTGTATAGCATAATGACTTGGGCCCTTTCCTGAAGGATCTGGAGTGACTGCCATTGGAGCTGCTGTAGCATGGATGTTACACTGCTTGTGCGTTGGTAATCTCCAATGGCGAATCTAGCTGCCCTACGCTGTACTGCCTCAATCTTTTTGATGTTTTCTTTCTTGGCTGGGCTCCACACGCTGGAGGCATATTCGATGGTAGGTCGTACCAGTGTGGAGTAGCACTGTGTCTTGATGTTGGTTGGACACCGGCTGATGTTTCTGCCCAAGAAGGCTAGGGTGGAGTTGGCCTTCTTAGTGATCTTGTCTATGTGCGTATCCCAGCTGAGGCTCTTCTGGATCGTAAGACCAAGGTACTTGGCCGAGTCGACGGTGTTCAGGACATGGCCGTGGATGGTGTAATCGGCATGTAGTGGGGACTTCCGGTTGGTAACCCGTAGGACTTCACACTTATCCGGGTTAAATTGCATAAGCCATTTGTCCTCCCACTCCTGAAGCTTGTTAAGGTCACTCTGTAAGATGGCTTGGTCTTCAAATGTCTTAATCCTCCTGTACATCAAACAGTCATCAGCAAAGAGTCGAGTGGTGGATGACACTGATGATGGCAGGTCATTGATGAAGATCAAGAAGAGCAGTGGGCCTAAGACAGTTCCCTGGGGGACTCCTGATGAGACCATGGTGGCTGATGATGATTGGCCATCGAGTACAACACGCTGGTTGCGCCCAGTAAGGAAGCTCGTGATCCAATCGTGGGTTTGACCTCCAATGCCATAGTGGTGTAGTTTCATCAGTAGTCGGTTGTGCGGGACCTTGTCAAAGGCCTTAGAAAAGTCTAGGAGTATACAGTCCATTTGCTCTCCGATGTCTAGGCTTTGTGCTAGGTCATTGACTGACAAGATAAGTTGTGTTTCAGTAGATCGATGTTTCCTGAAACCATGCTGGCTTTCAGTCAAGAGTCCATGGCTGTCTAAGTGACTCATGATGTGGCTATGGACTATATGTTCCATGACCTTCTACAAATAGATGTCAGGGACACGGGGCGGTAGTTGACTGCTGCACTCCGATCTCCCTTCTTAAAAAGTGGCGTGATGTTAGCCGACTTCCATTCATCTGGCACCTTGCCCTGGTCTAATGTAGCTTGGTACAATAGTGTCAAGGCCGGTGCTATTTGGTGGGAAGTTTCTTTCAGCAGTCGTGACGAGACTTCATCAGGTCCTGTGGCCTTATGGGGGTTGAGCTGTTGTAATAGTTTCTTTACCCCATTTTGATGAACGTTGATGCTTGGAACTGTTGGATGTGGGCTAGGTCCCATATCTGGAAGTGGTTCACTGGGATTCTCAGCAGTGAATACAGATGTAAATTGTTGATTAAGGATATCTGCCTTCACTCTGGCATCGCTGTATGCTATCCCGTCGCGTTTTAGTGGTGCCACTCCACAAGCATCAGTTCGTTTACTTTTAATGAAGCTCCACAGTCGCTTTGGTTTATGGTCTTCATCCATGATGATGTTGTTTACATACTCCTGATATCTTAGTTTGCACTGGACATGAACAGCATTTTTAAGGTGCTTATACCGTGAGTAATCCTGACTAGATCTGGTCTTCACGTATTGCCTATAAGCACGATCCTTTCTTCTGGACAGTCGCTTTAGATCTCGTGTGATCCAGGGTTGGTTGAAGCGTGTCGTTGTCATCTTTGATGGAACGTTAGTATTCAGGGCATCAAGGCATCCGCTCTTGAAGCTGGACCACAGGTCCTCGATTGGGTGTGAAGTGTCATGGTTTGCTGTGAATAGTTGAGTGAAGGCAGTCATGCTGTCTCTGAGGCCTCCCAAGTCTGCTTTGTTCCACAGGTACAACTTCCGACTAATGGGTCGTTGAAGTTTAACTTGGACATCACTGTCAATAAATAATGCTTCGTGGTCACTTATGCCTGGGAGTGGTCTCAGACGGTTTACTAGTGAGGGTCTGTTTGTGAGGAATAGGTCGAGGGTCGAGTTTTTCCTTGTTGGGAATTCCACCATTCCACCACAGATGGAGTTGGTTGACCAGGAGATATCCGGTAGATTGAAGTCTCCAGTAAGCCAGAACGGAGAGGTAGGGTGTGCTTTTATGAGGCCATGGAGCTCTTCACAAATTTGTTCCGCTTCCTCTTGGTTGGCACTGGGTGGTCTATATAGTCCTGCTATATTCAGTGGTGGGTGTGTCCCTCTCTTCACTGATATTGCAACTAACTCTGATGTTTTAGAGATGTGGAGTTCATCACATGGTATGTTTGCCTTTGTTATGATTATGACACCTCCATAACCATCTTGGCGATCCCTCCTAGCTTTGACGACATTAACCTGTGGGCAAGAATTCACTGTCATGAACATCAGGTCGTAACCACGTTTCAGTGCCTACAACAATATCAGGGTTTGCAGAATCTACAAGGTTCATGAAGCTTGCCTTTTTCGCACATATGCTTTGTAAATTGAGTGATATAATGCGAAATTGATGTTGTGGCGGTTTTGCTGTGGTACCTGCTGCTGTTCCCTTCTTAGGGGAGGATGAGTGTAATGGTGAGCCCGGATCTCCTGCGCTGCTCATGCTAGTATCAGTATTTTTATGTGAAAGGAAAAATATATTTTATACATGTTTATACATTCTAATTAAGTGCCTGTGCTTTGGTTGTCTTTGCCGACTGACTAAATTGCACCATGATGTAATTTTGCTTCTGCATGAAGATATATGTATAATATTACGCAGCAAAGGGGAATAGGGAACATGATTTTTTGACCCCCGCTATTCAGTTCCATTTCCAACTAAGTCCTACCCACACCAAACTTGAACGAATTTTGCATCTCGGGATGCACAGTCACTATCAGCACTGATATTTTAGGAGGCATAATTTGCCTTACTTTATAATATTTGTCTAAGTAATCTTTAATTACCTAAGATATTTTTTGCTCTACTGGTCAGAGACCAGAGGAGACTATGGGATAGTAAGGTGTCTATAGTTTGTCTGTAAACAGATACATGATTTTTGGTATCGGTTTTTCATTTTGACAAATAGTGTTGCAATAATTACTTAATTAAAATAACTAGAAACATGTGCATAGGACGTGAATACCCCCACTCCCGGGTTCATTATAATGATGCAACATGAAAATTTTAATAAACGTAGGAAGTTTGATGAAAATATATCTTGTATAGTTTCCTTAGAACTGAGTTTTAGACTTAATAAATAGAAATGTCAAAGGACATTGGGAAGGTCAAAGGAAAAAAATGGACACAGTTGATAAATTCTCACGAAATTCGCATAAGCTTTCAAAATAATATATTGAATAGTGTCTTTGAAACTAAGGGTCAAATGGATGGTCAAGGTAAAAAAATTTGATGCAGGCCAATAGCAATCCTCAAAACGTATCGTCATTTGAAGTTTGATAAAATACCTTAATTTGTTTCTTGGAACTGAACTAAACACAAAATAGAGAAAAGAAAGGTCAAGTATAAAGGAAATGTCAAGGTCAGAAATATTGATGCAATTGAATAGCTCTGATCAGTATGTATCAGCATATGAAGCTTGATAAAAATACTGTATGTGTACTTAAAAAGGCGGGCTTCGGCACAGACAACGATGCTCTAATTCATGAATACCGCTAAGAAATAATTTTTAAATACAATATATGGCACGGACATGTATAGCGCTAATTCATGAGTTCGCCAACAACTCCATACCCAGTGATTGCGAGACATTTTGAATACGCCAATCAATGTACACGTACAGTATATTGAATAGTTTCTTTGAAACTGAGCTGAATGCAAAGTGTGACGGAAGGATAGAAGGTCGGTACACGGACATGACAAACACTACATGTCCCTGTCATATTCATGGCGGGGCATAAGATTTCAGTTAAATTCTTTCAAAAAGCTACTCCTCCAATTTCAATAAGACTTGGTACGTACACTTTTTTTTTTAGAATAATCAAACTGTGTCTGATTCTCGGAACAAGACTTCTTAGGTTGGGTTCTTACTGCTTTCAGTACCAAATTTTATTCATACACTACTACATTACCTTTATTTGACTATACTGCAGCAAAAAGTGTGTGTGTGTGGGGGGGGGGGGGCTTTCATTGAACACCCCCCCCCCCCCTGCTATCTGATTACACTATACTTATATAAAATACACAATTTTTGATTTCGATAAACGCTGTTGTTAGGTTACTAAAAATAGAAATTACTCTGAAATACTTTCAAAATGCTACGGGATCTTCCTACATGCAGTTCTGGTCCAAAACTTGGTACACAAGTACACTATACTTATATACGCCAATTACTCTTACAATTACAAGTGCACTGAGCAAGGGTCTCATCAGAGATTTCTGTTCTGCTTCATATGATCCACAACTCAGTATGGGACAATATAAAAAAAAATAGGAATACCTCAAGACCCACAGCGCAGTTTAGGACAATATAGAAGTAAGAACACCGTATGACCCACAACTCACTGTGGGACAATATAAAAATAAGAACTCAATATGACCCACAGCTCAGTATGGGACAGTATAGAAGTAAGAACTTCATATGGTCTACAGCTCAGTATGGGACAATATAAAAGTAAAGCAAAACTCTTTGCTTGAAGTGGTGAAATCATTGGAGGTACAGAATATCGAAGGTGATGGAGGTGGTCCAATAGCCAACTAAATGAAGACTACGAATAGTTCTACAATACGTCCTCAGAGATGTATAAATTTTGATAATATTCGTGTCTTTTCTCCATTTGGTATTTTGCACATTTTTTTGATTCGGGAGAATATTTACTGAATTTGGACTAAAAAAAAAATACCATAAAAACTACGAAATATATGGAACCTACCAGGCATTTCCTTCAGTGCAATGTTCAGCTATCGCTAAACTTCATAATCATGAATTGGATTTCCAGACGTAGAATTAAAACCAAGTTCTTCTAAAATACAGTTGTAATAATGATCCTTACAAACAAAGACGATATTGTTACAATCCTTGTCGGCTGGAACCATAATATTGTTCATGTATTCTAAATCTTTTATCACTACCGATTGGTGAAAACGGAAGGATGTAACTCTCTTGTAATCGGCTACTTTATTTTTGCAAGACAATAAGATGTAATTAAAATTATATGAAATGAGCTAAACATAGTGTTAGCTCAAAAACGTAACATTCCCTTGAAAGTTTTGGTTCGGTAGCACTGGGTGCCAGAAGTTTACAAAAAATTAGGGAAAATTAATCTTTTTTTCATCCCATATGGGAGTGATTTCAATTTTTTTAAATTGATGGAAGAGTTATCATGATATACATACTACCGTACATCGTATTTTCGAATTAAGGAAGAATTTGAGAATCCGATTAATTTTTTTCTTTTTCTTTTTAGGAATATATAGCATTTAAAGAAAAAAAAACCTTGTGTATTAAAAATGATAAACATGTTAAACGTTATAATCTCTAAAGTACAATGTATATAATTTAAAAATCCTTATCATTTGTTGCTGAATGTACTTCTACTTTTAAAACCTGAACTCGAATCCAAGGTAGAAACCCAACAAGGAATAACAACATTACAGAGCACATTTCCACATGATTTATAATGTGTACAAATGTCTGCATCCAAACCAAAATGAAGCAAGGAATTCATATATATGACCCAAAGGGCAGTATGGAGCAATGTACCGATAGACGTAAAGACTCTAATTGATCAACAGCTCAATATGGGACAATATAGACGTAAGAACTCCATATGACTCATAGGTCAGTATGGGACAATATATATATATATATATATATATATATATATATATATATATATATATATATATATATATATATATATATATATATATATATATATATATATATATATATATATAAATATAAATAAAGAACTCCATATGATCCACAGCTTAGTAATGGAAAATATTAGAGTAAGAACTCCGTATAATCCACAGCTCAGTATGGAACAATATAAAAATAAGAACTCTATATGACCCGCAGATCAATACTGGACAATGTAAAAGTAAGAACTCCACATAACCTACAACGCAGTATGGGAAATATAGAAGTAGGAACTCCATACGACCCACAGCTCAGTAAGGGGCAATATAAAAACATGAACTCCATACGTATGGGACAATGTAAAGTAAGAACTCCATGTCACACACAGCTCAGTATAAGACAATATAGAAGAAAAAACGTACGTACTCCATGTGACCCTCAGCTTAGTATGGGACAATGTAAGGTAATAACTCCATATGACCCACAGCTCAGTACTGGCCAATATAGAAGAAAGAACGCACGTACTCCACGTGACCCTCAGCTTAGTATGGGACAATACCGAAGAAAGAACTCCATATGACCCACAGCTCACTATTGGCAACATAGAAGTAAGAACTTCATATAAATCACAGATTAGTATGGGGAAATATAAAAGCGTGGAATCCATATGATGCACAGCTCAGTATATATAGTACAACGTGCATTATGAGATGAGTTTTTGTTCGACACCGGATGTGGGCGTTGAGAAATATGGTTTGTTTAAGAAAAGAAAATACAGGAATAAAGATTGGAGAAACAAGAATGGGATATGTCTAAGCAATATTGTCATATGATTCTACTTTGTAATATGGTTCAATACCCTCCTCAGTAGTTATTATTGAAATTTAGAAAGGTCGTCCTTATTTGGCATTTTATTTTGAGACAAGAGACAAGATGTTAACTATAACTGAATGTCCAATTAAGGAAAATGTATATAGAGATAGGAATAATTAAATTCATGCACGCATACTACAAAGACTGGTAGTTTATAAGAATCAAAGTGAAGCAGGACTCTTTGCTTGAAATGGTGCAATCAATGTAGTCAGAATAAGTAATGGTGCTGATCCAATAGCCAACTAAATCAAGACTACGAATCATCCTTCAATACGTCCTCAGAGATGTGGAAGACTTATCTTTTGTTGATAGCATTTGTGTCTTTCCGACATTTGGTTTCTGGAAAAATTTTTGAATCGGAAGAATATGTACTGAATTCGGACTTACAAAACACAATAAAGACTTCGGAAATTTATGGAACATACGAGGCATTTTCTTTAGTGCAATGTTCAGCTATCGCTAAACAGCATAACCATAGAGGATTTTCTTATAATGATTTATCAAAGACGTGTCTTACATATCTGGATTGCTTAAAGAAAGGAAATGATAGTAGTGTTACAGCACATGGATGGCAAACCTATTGTCAAAAAATCCTCAAAGGTACAGTAAATTTTGATAACGCATGTATATAGATATCTATAAAAATATAGGTACAAATACATCTCAAGAATTTTGTAATTGTATATTTTTAAACATTAATTTTTTTTTTTTAAATTTCCATCAACAATGGAATAGACACGCAGTGCATTTTCCTTAATTTGGGCACCAAAATATTCATTTGTTAAAAAAAAATTAAAAAAAGGAAACAGAGAAAGCGGTGATCACTGTAATTCATGTTTTTATTAAAGTAAATATGTCAAATATTCATGCTTAGACTGAAAATATATATAAAAGAAAAAATTGGATTTTTTTTCATTTAATGAAAAACAGCATTACTTCTTTTTATTTTAAAAGTTTTGAGCAGATGCCATTACAAGGTATTGGATACCACAATGACATGGCTGGTAGCAAAGGTTTGTTTTATGATTTCATGTATTCAGTCTTTTAAAGGATTTTTTTTAAGCATTTCTACTTTGACATTAAAAAACGATTCCTGATGTGTGCAGCCTACTGGTGTGAACATAAAAGTGTTGGGGAGAAATAGTGCAATTTGACTTGATTTTACTAAATTTTACGTTTGTGTTCATAAAAAATCGCCAAAAGCTCGACAGAAAAAAGAATTCTAACATTTTTTGGAAATATTTTAAAGATATTTACTATATTAAATGGCTACACCTTTTAATAGTTAAACTTATAAAAATTATGAATTTTGTCACATTTCTTTTCATCCGGTAAATACTCATTGGATAAATTTTTCATATTACAAAGTTTGTTTACCGAAGCCTAATGATGTCCTTTAAACTAAAACTTACTTGTTTTTGCATTAATCAATATTAAAGATCAAGACACATGTATAATTCATGCAGCAGAGATTGAAAAAAGAAACCATTAAAGTTGATGGGACGTGTGATAAAAAATCTAACTTTTGTGATTAGAGATTAGACGTAGCATTAGTCAAAGATGTGTGTTAGTGTGTGTGTGTTAGTGTGTGAGGGTGTGTAAGTGTGTGAAAAGAATTTTGTATCTTTATGTTCTCTTATCGAAGATTTTATTCAAATCAGACCAAAACTGTAGGATGAGAACATTTTTGAAAAAAAAAGTCTGAAATATTCAAATATCGATGTTTTTGTACATCACTACAAAGATTTAAACAAGTACAAGCAGTCAAACATGAAAACCATACATGTTGACAAAATTTTTAATTAAAATCAAGTGGATTCTATTGAAAATCAAATAAATTTAAGCGCATATCTTCTGAAGAAAATTCAGAACTAATATATACTGAAGAAAATTTAATCTATGAATAAATCATCCATCTGTTGAAATTTTCAAAGGAACTGTGTAAATATTGAAAAAAAATTATTTAGCAACATAATAAATAATATTATAATTGCATAGGTTATGTAATTTAACTAAACGAAATGATATCCTAACTGCATATAAATAGATGTCGCTATAATTTTATAACAAAGTAAAAAAGCGTATTCTTATTTGAATTTGAAGTTCTATTATAGAGAAACTCTTCATCAATAATTATATATTGATCTTAACATCACGGAAAATTACCTCCCTTGCTTTCATATTTTCCTCTTAACTTTGTTTTGGAACTAATTTTTAAATCCCTTTGAAGTATAACGAAAGGACAATAGTACAAAATTATGACACAATGACATTAAGTTAAGAATTCATCCGTGCTTTCATTAATGAAAATTCATACTTTAAAAGATTTTGCCAGTTTTATTACAGCCGTCGATTTGAATTATCATTTATAACGTTTGTATTAGTTATACCAGATCAAATTAAAACAAAAAAGGTGCATATCATCATTATCCCTAAATCTCGGGAACTCAGTGCAGGAAATCAGATGCAAAGTAACTTCAAAGATAGTAGATAACATTTATCATTGATGTAAGGCGAGGGTTACTGAATATATTGATGTTATAATTTGAAGAATAGAGATTGCATTTGCTTACGTAATAAGGGAATTAAAGATCAAAGGAATTTGTAAATATTATTGCATTTAAATTCATTTTTAGATAATTATAATTATCATGATCACTGCCAAATCCATTGTAAGCAAACAAAATACATATCTTGATGAGAAGAAACTTTATTTGAAAAGTGTCTGATCAAAATTTCAGTGCTTATGTAACTTCTGCTTCTTCCTCTTAAAAGAATTAAAGTTTCATTCTTTGTTTGAATAGAATGACTGCATAGAAAAGAATGGATACTTACTGGAAGTAAATACTAAAGAGGAATCAGACTTTGTGGAAATGAATGTGATCGGTAAGACATCAATGTTTTATAACAACCTTACGGCGATATATATATATATATATATATATATATATATATATATATATATATATATATATATATATATATATATATATATATATATATATATATATATATATATATAGACATAAGAAATCAGCACGCAAATGGTGAACATAAAAAAAATATGGCCTTATTCAACTAGCCCCCAACCTCTCAGCTTTCAACACAGGACTTACCTAAACAAAAAAAAAGTATATTAAGTTAACTTATTCTGAAAGATTGTAAGTGTATGATTCAACATCTTATTAATATTACAATGAAACGTTCTTGTATTAATTGCTTAATTTAGAAGTATATTGGTATTTAAAATAGGAACAGGAGCTTGTACATACCCTTTCTGGCTTGGTGGAAGTAAAAACAATGGCGTAGTGACATGGTCAACGAGCGAATTAAATGTTCCTATTCCACCAGAAGTAGGTTATTCAAATTGGGGCGATGGTCTTCCACAGCTGGACGTTCAGGGATTTGATTGTCTCCTTTGGACTCCAGTTGGTTGGAAAATTTACACGTGTAACGAACCAAAATGCACGATATGTGAGGCTGATGAATGCATATTTTGAAAAAACTATTCTTAAAACGAAGAAAGAAGGGAACGACATAATTATCTGCTAAAAATGGACAATTAGTATCTGCAATAAATCAAAAAGGTACTCTTTGAAAACGGAATACAGTTTGTACTTTGAAAATGTTAAAGGTATACACTAATATGATTTATGAATCACACCAGGACAGACATTTGGTTGTTTATTTCAAAATAATGTGAGTCAAAAATAACTATTAGATATACTTCTATCACGATGTAAATTTTGAATTTACTAGGTGAAAGCAAATTAAAAAAAAAAACTCTCACATAATGAATAATTTTTTTTATTTATCTCCGTTGTCCGGGTATGTATATCTAAGTAACTTTAATCAAGACAAGTAATGTTCATCAATATTTTTGTTTGCTAAAGCTTTTTATTCTAATATGAAGCAAGAAGTTCACTGATGACCTTTCCCCGCATATTCCTGCTCTATACAACCTATAAAAATCTTATTGTTTGTTGTAGCCCATTATATTTACTCCATTTAATTGTAACGTACCTTATATATACGTATCTTTTACCATGTACGCGCAGACTCATGGAAATAGATGGGCTCCAAACGATCACAGGAAAATGCACTTTTTTCTGCTTAAAATTTCCTCTCAAATTGATATTGGATTCTGGTTGATCCCTCCCACAGAAACTTATAATATCCGCAGAGTAGCTGATGTTAGAGATGCCTCTTAAAATTTATTAATAAACGATTCCAGGTTGTCTATGAGGCCCTTTGTTATTCTCCAGGTTTTCAGATCTATAAAGGATAAAGATGTTAATACTGGTAGCGAATATTACTGTGAAATCATTCAGATTTTACTGGTTCGTTGGAATGTAATTCAAGGATAACTAGCATATACAGAAGATACAATAAACCAATACATTGACGAAGTTCCTTAATTGTGGGGATGTAAATTCGAGGGTATGGGTGTGTAACAGAAACATTTATATGCCTCTGCTGGGGATTGAACCCGGGGCCTCTGGCTTGCCAGTCCAGTGCTCTACCAATTGAGCTAAAGGGTTAACCCACTAGCCCAAGCTAGTAGGAAGCCATGTATCTGACACTACCACATTGTCCCCCTCCAGAGAATGAGATGTCCTCATCTCTTTTGGAGTGCCAACACCTGTGGGGCGAAGTTCTGGGGGCAATCACTCTCACCCGCCAGAGAACACCCAGGTCCCAACGTGGGCGCCAAATGTAACAGAAACATTTATATGCCTCTGCTGGGGATTGAACCCGGGGCCTCTGGCTTGCCAGTCCAGTGCTCTACCAATTGAGCTAAAGGGTTAACCCACTAGCCCAAGCTAGTAGGAAGCCATGTATCTGACACTACCACAGGTGACCCACGAAATTCACGAACACTGCTCCTCCACGAACAATGATCATTTTACAGTACCCTTGCCTTAAACGTGATGTTACATATGCTATTCAGATAATTTAATCAAATGAAAAGCAGTTCTCGCCTTGTCTATTTTCGCCTCTCTATTTTCTTTGATCCTCCAACACTATCTACTGCACGTCCCGGATATGAGAAGGAATACCACTTCGAATGCTCAGGAATTCATGTCAAGTTTCTCTTTGACGTCATTTTTACCTGAGATCTGCTTCAACTCTTTACCTTTAGTGCTATATCCTGAAGCCTGAACCATGAACAAGGGAAACACAAGTTTTAAGACTATTGTAATGAAATATATGGAAGTACGGAGGAGTTCAAGACCTATGAGCGGAACAAGAGTATTGGAAAAACAAACATACGTAATATGAAATATGTGAAGATAACGAACAGTATTCAAGCTCAAAAGTCCATTAAACAATACAAAATAGGAGCAGAGCAAACACGGACCTCCAAAACATCAGAGGTGGGATCAGGTGCCATGGAGGAGGGAGCATCCCCTGCCGACCGGTCACGCCCGCCGTGTGCTCCTTGTCATGATCGGGAAATAAAGGGAAAATCCGTCGACAATTCAGTGTGTAAATAATGGCCTAACAATTAGAATGAAAAATATCAGTCAGCATTTGACTCAATGATAAATTGTATTAGCTGACAAGGTCATTGTATCGACCATAGAAATTACGAAATGATTACTTTAAACGAGACTGCTGATATTCTTGTTTCATCAACTTGTTTGTCAATAATTTACCTCGTTTTAGAAATTGTACATACGTGGAGCATGCTCTTGCGTATCGAATCAACTGAGAGATATAAATCCCGTATGCAGGTGATGAAGGTATATTGCTGCATAAGTAAGGGAAGTTGACTATTGAAAAGTTAAAGTCATCTCGTTTATCATAAAGATTGGTTGTTAGATTACCATTAACGTCTTTTTCAAGTAAAATATCCAAATATGAAACAGATGTGTCAGATTCTGTGGTATTTTTTATCTCAAGCTCACCAGGATATATCGTATCGACATAAGAATGGAAATAACCATTGTTAATTGACAATACGTCGTCGATATATCTAAATGTCGAGTTGAAGGCCACAGCAAGTGTTTTCTTCTTTTCACGTATAAGATTTTGGATAAATTCTGCTTCATATGAATACAAAAAAAGGTCTGCTAATAACGGGTTGCAATTGGTTCCCATGGGAATTCCGATAGATTGTTGGAAGACCTGGTCTCCAAAAACCACATAGATTTTGTCAATCAAAAACTCAAGCATCTTTTTAATGTCAACTTCAGAGTACTTGTGTGTACAAGTATTTAACAAAATAACTTTGCAAATGACCAATGAAAATGTAAATGGTTAATTCCTCATTATGATAATGGAAACAGTTTGCCTGTCACTTAAACATATGATACATAAATATCTTTGAGCAAGTTGTTGGTCACCAAAAGTTTGAACTGATTGGACAAAAGTTAAGAAAACCAATCAGAATTTGGAATTTTCCCAAAAGACGTCACTGCAGACAGTCCGTTAAAAAAAAAAAATGAACGACGTTTGACCGAAGTCCCATGGCAACGAGTGGAGTCCTGACGCTATAAGGATATTACATGCATGTAAAAAAAATCTTCCCGAATAAGTCCGAGTAGAATATGAACTTTTCTCTGTAGTTGAGCTGGAACAGAAATATATTCGAAAAAGTTAAAAATTGTAGTCGTATGCTTTCTTTTGTATTTGACAGTTCGTGGACAAAGTGGTTTTAGACTGTTGATAAGAATTAATGTACAGACGTAAAACGTTGTATCGTACGTTTCCATTTTTGCATGAAAATTTAGTTCAGCTTCCACTCTGCCAAAAACGATCATCCTGAATTATCACTTTTTATTTGTCCACTACTCTATTATTAAAACTAATATGACCTTGTTATCAAATATAACCTATCTATGGGTCGTATTTTGTGCAGTTGCTATTGCGACAAAGATCGTTCCATTACTGGGTATCTGGCAACTAGGCGATTTCAAAAATATCTGTGCAGGAAATGAAAAGCATGACTAATGTGAACCATTTATCCTTCAGTTTTCACTAAATCGGAAGTGATAAAGGAATAAGAAAGACTACATGAACAATATGCTATGGTTCCAACAGACAGGCTCACAGAGCTTGTAACAATATCGTTTTTGTAAGGTTCATTATTGCAACTGTATTTTAGAATGCAATATTAATTCTACACATGTAAATTCAACTTTTACTCACTTTCTAAGGATGAAATTCTTCAAAATAACATTTCATAAAACTTTTAACATTCCAGTCAACGAAAGTGAATGCGTTCTACCCTACCTATATGAATTGCTAAACTTTATAAAACCTTACAAACAAAGATACGTTGCCGGGTCCAGCAACTGCACTACCAAGCCCATATCTTTACACCTTACAAAAATATTAACTGTTGTAAAGGAGAAACTTTAAACGTATTATGCTACAGCATATTTGAGAAGTGGTGTAAATCAAATGTGGATTCTCCAAAACTCTAAAGAACCTTTAGAAAATTTAAAATCAAAAAATATTTTTCAGTTATAAAAAGGGAAAATCAATCATTGTTTAATTTTAAACTGTATTTGCAAGCTAAATAATTCCTTGATGAATGAACTCTCTATTATTTTGCAAAGTGCTAATAAATCATTTATATTTGGAACCGTAATGGAGAGATTGTGTGATCTAATCTTCCAATGAATTTGTATAATTCGATTTTACACAATTATTCATCAAAAGAATTTTGCATTTTCTATCATTTCTTAACGAGGTTCGCTCCTGAGCTTTTGAGCAGATTTATATCTTAACCTATAATTTAAAAATTCTGCATAATGTTTTAATTTTTACAATAAAATTGGATTCTACAATGCCAATTAAACTATATTCAGTTAAAACTCCATGATTAAATTCCATACCAAAAGCATTTAGTAAGGAACTATATTTTGTGGCGGAAGATTTTTTAGAAGAAAATGATCATTTTTTCTCTTTCGAAGTATTTAAAGTATGTTAAGTTTGGATTCTTATTTTTACATACAGTCTACACAAAGAGTTATTTTGTGCAGTGAACTGTTTATACTGGTCCTAAATTATATATTAAATAAACTGTCATGAATTCTATCATCATATTTGATAAATATAGCAGATATATTGTGAAAATCAAGAAAAATATCCCTATTTTAAGCTTAAAATTAGCACTATTTTAGTAATATCTAAAAATTAACATCACAGACCCCCACTTTTTATTTTATTTTCTGAATATATAAGATACTTTGAACCATTCTTCTTAATTTTAGTAAAATGTCATTACTTTCAAATGATTTTTTTTTTTTGGTGTTCTAATGCCAGGAAAATGAAATTTTTTAGTGCAAAAAGGTCAAATAATTGAACATGCGGAGTAATTTCAATTTTTTTTTTCTTTGTCACAAATTTTAATGTGTCTATTCAAGATGATATAGGACTGTGTTTGTTCCCATAATTTATTTGAATAAAAAATATTGGAGGAAAAGCTTTACAAATTGATTTATGTGTAAGACCTATTTACAGTGCAAAAAGGTCAAACTAAATGCTCTGTAGCGCCAAAAGAAGCGCATTGACCCCCAATTTTTGTTTTGATTTTTAATTAATCTTTGTGTATAAATTCTAAAAATATACTTGATAAAAAATTCTCATTACTTTTGATGGCAGGATCGAACCACCTTAAGTACAAAATGTTATATCATGTACAATTATGCA